GTATCTGTAAGATGGAATTTGGCTTGTTGGGGAACTAAAAGGTGGCCCAAGAGAGTGATATATAGTAAACAAGAGGAAAAGTCACACACAGTGAGAGTGTAGAGAGAAGTAGGGTGGTCCATATTAAGAATTTTGTGAAAGAAGAAGCTACTGTTAGGATTTTAAGCAGGAATATGGCAAAGTAAGACCTGGAGTTTCAAGGGATTATTCTGTATACAAGTTGGGAAATGGATTGGGAGGGTACTCTTGTACCAGAATCCCAGTGACCAGTTAATAGGCTAATTCTGGAGTCTAGTTTTATCCTAGGGTGATGGCATTAGAGACACAGAGAAGAGTGCAAACTTGGGATAAATATTTTTGGGGGTAGTAGGTCGCTGTTGGAGTACAAAATATGCACAGCTTAGAGGTATGGAGGGAGATGACACTGGATAGGTAGACTGAAAAAACTCATGAATGACTTCAGCCGCCATAATAACAAACTTGGACTTTATCCTATGGGTAAGGCAATGCTCTTGAAAGTTTTGCAGAATGAGTTAACCCTGTTGGATTTGTGTTGAGCAAAAAGTAACCTGATTCACTCTCCAGTCAAGACTTTATGGTCCCACTGTAACTAATCTTTTCCATATACCATCAGTGTAATCACCATCAATAAATTGTCAGCTTCCAAGAGCATTAAAATCCATCTTTGTTCCCTATCTGTAAGGCTGATATCATGACTATCATATTATTTCAAGTTTGGTTGTATTCTTTCCCATACATATAAAGATGATGCTCTGTCCTATGGAGATATGTCAGTAAATCTAGATATCTCTACCAACTCTTCTATCTCATGGCATCCACGCTCAGAACCTCATGTGGTATTGTAATGCATGTTGCTGCCATGCCTGAATGCCTCATTGATGATGGATGCATGTGCCTTATTTCACACTCCTATCTGGAGAGCCCAAACATATGCTGATGCTGCTCAAGCTCACATGAGTGTCAGTGGAATTGATTTTCCCGATGATGTGCAATTAGACAACAGTAGCTAACACTGTTGCAATATAAAATATTCTACATAGAAATTTAGCATCTCAGACTTTGACTTCTGGAAATGAGGGATCAGATTTACCCTGTTGCTTAACAACTAGACAGACAGACAGACAAAATATATGAAACAGCAGTTTTCAGACACTGAACAACAGACAATACAAGAGAATTCTCCATGGGAGAAAAATAACAAATGAGGTGGGTCCTATGTGTACCCAAGCTCACGGCATGGAGAGGGTTTCAAGGGCATAGCATAATGAGGGCGAACCCAAGCAGAGCTCAATAGTCCTTTGAGTTACGAAAACAGATTTTAGACTTTTGGTAGGCCAAAGTGGCTGGATTTGCAGGACAGAATCCTGAAGAGGATGATACAGACACAGAGAATGAGTTCTTGAGAATCTACGCAGAGGTCTTGTCAAGTCTTCAACTAAGGGCTGATCTGTACGTGCATGTGAGGAAAATATTAAAAGGAAAATACCACCAGAAAGTAACAGGCAGAATAGTCCCTGGACCACACACATAAAAACAGTTTATGTTCCCATCATCAAACATGGAAAGACCTCCTAACAAATGGGCGCTGAGTAGAGATAGAATCAACAGAAGGCACAGGAGTTGGATAAAAATAGTCTAGACTGCAGACTACTCAGAAGGTGACAAAGCCTTAAAAACAAGACTTGAAAGTATCAAATCAATTCCACGTCTCTTAACTGTTTGCCAACATAAAATACTATTTACAAGAATGGAACAAAATCCAGCAAGCAACATGTAAAACTCACAATGCTAATAAAAATTAATAAGCATTAAAAGAAGCAGGAAAAGTACTACCCATAACCAAGAAAAAACTTAATCAATAGAAACAGGTCCAGAAATAAAAGAAATGATAGAACTGGCAGGCAAAGACATTAAGACAGCTGTTATAAATATTCTCCATATGCTCCAGAGCATGATGAGGAGAGAGATAGAAGACATAAAAATGCATAAATGGAAACTCCATAGATGAATATAATAGCTGAAGTGGGAAGTACACCACCAGATGAGATTAACAGCCTTGTAGAAGAAAATATTAGAGAATATTATATATAGCAATAGAAACTATCCAAGTGAATCATGAAGATAAAAAAGACTGAACAAAATTAACAAAGCATCAGTAATCTATAGGACAATATCAAGTGATATCACATATGTGTAATTAGAATCCTAGAATGGGGAGGAACAGAAGAAATATTTGAAGAAATCAAGGCTGAAAAATTTCCAAATGTGATGACAGCTATAAACCAACAAAGCCTTGACAAAACCAAGAAGAAAAATGAAGAAAACCATACCAAGGCACATAATAATCAGTTACTAAAGACCTGTGATGAAGAGAAAATGCAGTCAGAACAACAACAACAAAAAGACACAGAAACAAAAATAAGAATGACAGCAGACGTCAGTAGAAAAAATGCAAGCCAGAAGACAGGGATATCTTTAAAGTACTGGTGTGGAGTGGGGGAGGGCAATTTGTCCACTTAGTATTCTATGCCAAGCAAAAATATCTATTTAAAATGAAGAAAAAATAGACTGTCTTAAGCATAGAAATAAGAAATAATTTCTCACTAGCAGGCCAGAAAAACATGTTAAAGGAAGTCTTTTAGTCAGAAAAAAAATGATATTAAGGGCGCCTGGGTGGCTCAGTCGGTTAAGCGACTGCCTTCGGCTCAGGTCATGATCCTGGAGTCCCAGGATGGAGTCCCGCATCGGGCTCCCTGCTCGGCAGGGAGTTTGCTTCTCCCTCTGACCCTATCCCCTCTCATGCGCTCTCTCTCTCTCAATCTCTCTCTCAAATAAATAAATAAAATCTTTAAAAAAATTATATTAAAAGGATATTTGGATCCACGAGGAATAAAAAGCTTCAGAAATGGGTAATATAGAGAAAATTTTTCCTCATTTTTAATCTGTTGAAAAAATAATCATCTCAATTTAAATATATTTAATGCAATTAAATACAATTTATTACAGGGTATAGTATATATGCAGAAGTAAAGCGTATGCATACTAAACGATAGCACAAAGGCTAGGAGGGAGGAAATGGGAATATACTATCGCAAGTGTCTTATAAGCGAAATGGTATAATATTATTTGAAGGTAGACTCTTAAAGTCCTATGTTGTAAACTGAAGGGCACCACTAATAAAACAAAGCAAGGTTAATAAAATAATAGTGGAGATAAAAAGAAATATTCAATTAACCTAAAAGAAAGCAAGAAAAAGAAAAAGGAATAAAGACCAGATGGATAAATAGAAAATAAGAGCAAGATGGTAGATTTAAACTCAACCATATCAATAATTATATTATAAGCAAATGGGAAGAACACTACAACTGAGAGACAGATTCTAAGACTGGATAAAAAGAAATACCTTACTATATGCTGAATTTGAGAAATCCACTTTAAAGACAAAAACAGGAAAAAGTAAAAGATGGAAAAAGATATACCATACCAACTAACACTAACAAACACAAGAGGGTATATAATGTATTATTCCACTTATATGACCTTAGAGGCAAGAGGAATATAGTGACAGAAAGCACATCAGTAGCTGCTGGGCCAAAAAGTTAGGGGAATGTACTGACTGGAAATGACACAAGGCAACTTCTCAGAGTGATAAAACTGTTCTATAGCTACACGACTGTACACATCTGTCAAAATTCAGCAAACATTATACTTAAAATTGGTGGATTTTATTGTATGCAATTTCAGTAAAGATGACAAAAGGAAGAGAGGGAGGAAAGCAGAAAAAGAGAGAGGAAGGAAAAAAGGAAGGGAAGAATAAAGAGAGGAAAAGGAACAGGAAAGGAGAATGGGCAGAAAGAAATTAATCACTTGTTTTCAAAAAGCACAATCACTTCAGTAAGAATTGTTTGTACGAACCCTTCACCCCATCGTGTAAAACATTTGATCCCTTTTTTCTGATCCTGATTGTCTGCCCGTGTCTCCACTCTGATGGTCTCCCCTTCGATGTCAAGTTTATCAAGCTGTTGTACCAAACAAAGGTGAATGTATCCCAAGAGAAATTCCTGCACCAGCTGATGATAGTGAAACTCACCTAATGAAAGGAGGCATGGCTCACACATTTGTCTGTCCATAACAGGGACCTCCCCTTCCTGACCTCACTTGCTCCATCTCTAACCACATCTTTTTGTTGTTGAAATTCCACCCAAGACTCTGCACTTCTTTTAATCAACAGCATCTCAGTTCCCTCTCTTCAATGAGAAAGACCAACTTGTACATCCTCCTCTCCCACCAGTCAGGCCCAGAGTATATATGGAGGGGTTAATGGTGGGTCTTCAGATACACAAAGGGCAGGAGTAAGACATCTAAACTTCAGATGGTAGACACATTTCATAATCACAAGAGCAACCAGACGGAATAGAGGAGCTGGACTCCAAGGCTCGTGGGACAGTTGGGATGTTCAGAAGGTGGAGGTATGATAAAGCAATAAAATAGGGCTGAGAGTGGCAGAGGTGGGGAAGAAGATATGAAATACAGAAGAAAAACAAAACAACATAGAAACAGCTCTCAGTGTACTCACATCCCATGCTAACAGGCAGTTAAATGGAAGATATCTTGTCAAGCACTACAGAGAAAATAGAAACAAAACCCATTCTCTTATCCTGAGATGATTTACTGATCAAAGGTGATTCAGCTCTCTGATTATATTTAAATAACAATCCTTTAGGTAGCCTGGAAAATTAACTTTCCCTAAACCTTAATGAATATATTAGTATCTCCCTTATTCACTTCAGATCACCATAGACCAAAGCCCTTATAATTGCATAGACACAGAAGTGGGTATATGGGAATCTTTCCAGATAACGAAGGTTCACTTAGGCGTATATAGCTCTGTAGAGATCTTGTGCTCCCCCAGATTTGAAGATGATGAAAAAGTTGTCCTCAGTGACTCTCCAGATGTTTTCATGACTCTTCTTCTCCAGGTGCTTCTTACTCTGACCATACATTCCCTGTAGAGAAGATGGATGATGCCGTAGCTCCAGGCCAGGAATATACCTATGAGTGGAAGATCAGTGAGGACAGCGGGCCCACACACAATGACCCTCCATGCCTTACATACATCTATTACTCCTATGAAAATTTGATACAGGACTTCAACTCTGGGCTAATTGGACCTCTGCTTATTTGTAAGAAAGGTAAAAAAAAAAGAGCAACAACTAAGATTGAAATGGTAAGATGTACTATAATGGAGTGAGGCTTGGGAGAATCTTGGAAGCTTTTTGTAAATCAAACAAAGGGAGAAGCACAGAAACCAGATCCTTCCTTGACACTGGTATTGGAGGGTTAGAATCTTCCTGTTTCTTTGAATCCTTCCTTTGTCTCAGTCCTGGGAGACTCTCCCAAGTAAATCCCTGTCTGAGAGTATGTTCTGATACCAGGCCCATATGATCTATAACATTTACCTCAAGGCCAAGTCTTTTTGAAAGTATACAGCAGCCTATACATTGCTGAGCGTACTTGGAAAGAACTTTGACAAACATAATTGAGGTTTAGGTTGGTAATATGGTATACAAACATTCAAAACTCCAGCTTTCTTTCTTATAAACAAGCTGGACACTTTAGGTGGCAGATTTTAAACATTCAATTGATTTTATTAAAAAAATGTCATTGGCTGGGCTTAGGAGCAAGCATGAATTTTCATTAAAAAAACAAATAATTCAACCCATCTTTCATTAAAACAATAAACAATCACAATAAACTACACTGTGGGAAATAATATGATAGATTCACCCTCTGTCTATACATAAACACATACAGTCATAACTCACTTATTCAGTACACAAATACACATTTTCATTGCCTGGTATAAAAGATACTGTGATGGCACTGAAAAATTTTCAAATTTATAAAAAGTTCTTATTTCATTTTACTTTCATTTACTGTCAGCTGCCTTTCTCAGCTGTGAGAATGGATTAATCTTGACCTCAACAAATTCTCAAATGCCTCATTACATGTACAAGCAAGATGGCTGTATGAAACTTGGAGTGTACTTTGCCAACTGAGCTAAAGTACCTCTTTATTGGTGGCCTGTTGACACTAGAGGAAATGAGTACTTTCACTAAAGCCTTGACAGTCACCAGATGTTTTTTTCTTTGTGCCTGATCAAGTTTAGCTTTAATCCTCATTCCTCTTTTTTTTGAGGTGTCAGAGAAAATACTTACTGTGGCACCAGGATTTTAATAAGCCCCCGATCATTATTACTGGATAAAGATGCTATTTTTTTAAGATTTTAATTATTTATTTGACAGAGAGAGACACAGCAAGAGAGGGAACACAAGCAGGGAGAGTGGGAGAGGGAGAAGCAGGCTTCCTGTGGAGCAGGGAGCCCGACAGGAGGCTCGATCCCAGGAGCCTAGGATCATACCCTGAGCCAAAGGCAGACGCTTAACGACTGAGCCACCAAGGCGCCCCAAAGATGTTATTTTTTAAAGATTTATTTATTGGGGCACCTGGGTGGCTCAGTCAGTTAAGCATCTGCCTCCGGCTCAGGGCGTGATCCCAGGGTCCTGGAATCGAGCCCCACATCAGACTCCCTGCTCAGCGGGGAGCCTGCTTCTCCCTCTCCCACTCCCCCTGCCTGTGTTCTCTCTCTGTGTCTGTCAAATAAATAAATAAAATCTTTAAAATAAATAAATAAATAAATAAATAAAGATGTATAAATAAATAAATAAAGATTTATTTATTTATTTCAGAAAGCGAGAGTGTGCAAGTTGGGGGAGGGGCAGAGGGAGAGGGAGAATCTCAAGCAGACTCCATGCTGAGTGTGGAGCCCGATGCGGGGCTCGATTGCAGGACCCTGAGATCACGACCTGAGCTGAAGTCAAGAGTCAGCTGCTTAACTGACTAAGTCACCCAGGGACCCCAAGATGCTATTTTTTAAAATAAGAACTTCTTAAGGTTATCATTATAATTGACTGATTGCCTTAATTTTTTTTTTTTTGCTATCTAGGAATACCTAGTGAGAATCTTCTGTCTGGGATGCTATTAAAAAGTACGTCTTTTCTTTCATAGGCACTCTTACTGAGGATGGGATTCAGAAGATGTTTGACAAACAACATGTGCTGATGTTTGCTGTGTTTGATGAAAGCAAGAGCGGGAGCCAGTCATCATCTTTAATGTACACAGTCAATGGCTATGTGAATGGGACAATGCCAGGTGACTCATGGGCTGCACGCTATCCACCACAGCAGAATCATCAGTGCCTTTGGTCCCATTGCTTTCCTCAAAGCCATATGGAAGTTGACCAAAGTCATACTCACTATTTTTCAACTCCTAATCAAAAAGATAATGTTATCCACCTCAGTGGTTGTCAAGATTCCATCATCTGTTTTTTGGTTGTTTTTTTTTTTATGTTAATACTATTTTATTTAACCCGATATACCCAAAATGTTATCATTTTAACACGGGATCAATATAAACAATTATTAGTGAGATAGTTTACATTCTTTCTCTTTATAGTAAATCTCTGAAATTCAGCACACCTTTTACCCTGATAGCACACCTCATTCCATGTTCAATAAGTGACAACCATCTTGGACATGCAGCTCTAGACTTTGAACTAACGGTGTCATAAAGGGTTAAAACCGCCCCCCAGGGGAGTGACTTAGGTATTTCAAGGGTCAAATACATAGAGTGGTACATGTGCGCAAATGCTGCCATACTTGGACTCTTGATTCATGAGAAGCCTTGAGAAGAGATCCAAGAAAGCTTTTCTAGAACATTCTTCAGAAGAGTGTATTGTTATCATTTGCCAAATTCGTGGCTGTTCACTTGTCAAAATATTTTTTTGAGAAAAGATGCATATATGGAGAATTTTTTTCTTTCTTTTTTTAAATTTTTACTTGAATTCAATTAACATATAATGTATTATTGATTTCAGAGGTAGGGGTCAGTGATTCATCAGTCTTCTATAGAGAAAGAATGTGCAGCTTAATATATTGGATGTAGGGATCCAAGCAGGTTTCACCTTGCCCTGTGCCTCCAGGAAGATCTCCAAGATACTAGCTCACTCTCCTTCAGTGGGTTCTGTGGTCCCTGCTGCATGGTGACCATGCCTTCTTTCACAGAAGAAGCCCTACGAAATACAAATTCAAGGTCAATCCCTAGCAGGAAGGATCAACAGAAAGAATTCAAGGAAGACACTTACAGTGAAGATGAATAGATTAGGAGAAATACCCCACATACAAAAACACTATGAGCATTTCAAAAGGTGATGGATTAGTAACATCCAATGGCATGTAGGATGTTCTCTCTTTCCATTTGCATGGAGACTATTGTGGAAAAGCAAAATCGTAGCAACTGTTAAGAGAAAAAAGAAACAATAAATCTGACTCCCATCCAGACTTCTTCCATCTCTCTGATAGAAATGACTTAGAACCAAAGATCCTGAGGAAAAAGAATGGAAAAATGAAAACATTATTTTATTAAATAATTCCATACATCAAAACACTAAGCTTCTCAGAGGTCATTCTCTGTATCTAAAAATCATAAGTGGCTTTACTTACTAAAAACAAAACTTGTCAAAAGTTGAGATCTGGACATCATTTTTAAATTGTATTCTATTTCATTTGGCTCTATCTTCCCACCTGGATTATTACAGATGTACTCGGATGACTCTGGTTTTGATTCAGAGTTCCAAAACTTAGTCAATTGACCTCTGTCTTAGGAGATCTGAGTTCAACCCTTGCTCATATCTCCAGCTTAGTGTGGTCCTTGGAAGTTTATTGTCTCAATGTGCCTATTTACAAAAATGGATTAACCATTTATCCTGGTGCAGAGGGTGTTTAGGAATTTTTTTACATATAAAATAGCCTTGCCACTGCTATAATCCTTAAAAGTTTTTTTTTAAAGAGACATTGTATCTGTGTTCTGGCAAGTGAATCATTTCTGTAAATTTATAGAAGGCAAACAAAAGCAATTCATATGCAAAAAATTAATAACTTGGTCAGTGCATAGAGCCCATGAATTTAAAGTCAAAAAAGAGTACCTGGGGCTTAAGAGAGGCAGGATAGGGGTACCTGTCATTAATAGAAACAGAAAAGTTAATGCTGTACAATTGTCTTATGGAGCAGGGTAAATTAAATAAATATGATAAATGCTAATACAGATATATTAAATGCTTAATTCAGCATAAGCATTTCTTTGGGGTAAATACTTTCATCAAAACCTCCTACCTTCTAGGTTCTTGTTCACAGTTTCTAGCTTCTTGTTCTCACCGATGATCTAGGAATCCCTGCCAGGTTACAAGGGTCTCCTAAAAAATACAAGCCTCTCAACCTCTCTGTGGGTAAGGGACTTGTTCTCAGCCCCATAATTGTAGTATCTAGTGATTATGGATCTGAAATTTAAAACCCAAACCAAGGATGGAAGCCAGGGTTTGAATCTCCCGCAGAGCAAATTAGCATTTTCCCAGTTACTGTGAGCACAAAGGAGGAAAACTCAGCTTTTATTCTGTTTTCATTACTTCATCCATGAAAGGCTCCTAGTGGCCTAGCATAATGAACACTTGCCCATTGCATTTAAGGAGAGCCTATATCCCACAGAGTAATTCATTGCCTCATCATTTAAACAATCAACAAGGGGTTAAAGAAGCAATAAAAAATTCTTAAAGCATCTTCACATCTTTCCGTTAGGCAGAGCTTTGACATCTATCCAGCTGAGAGGATTAGACCCCTGAACTCAGCCTTACTGGAGACTCTGGTGACTCCTTCCAGCTGAGTCCAAATTGATTCCAGAGTGACCAACTGCCCAGGCTTTCATATGGCTTTCCCAGTTTTAACACTGAAAGTCCTGCCTCCTGAGAAACTCCTCAGTCCCTGGTAGACCAGGAGGGTTGGTGACCTACTTGGTTCCCTCCTTGGCCTAACCCCTTAGCAATCCTTGTGTTTCTGAACTAACTTTCCTCATCTTTGGGCTCTATTCTTACCTCTAGAGCACCACTCATTGCAATGAGTTGTGACTACTTGTTTGCCCATCACTCAGACATCTGCTTTGCTAGGGCAGGAACCACAGTTGGAGTGTCTCTACACCAGAAACAATGCTTGATGCACAGCAGGTGCTCAGTACATATCTGGTGAGGGAATTTTTTATTACAGAGTGCTGACTGCCTGTTTCACTTCCTATCTCTCTCTCTCAGATATCACAGTTTGTGCCCATGACCACATTAGCTGGCATCTGATTGGAATGAGCTCTGGGCCAGAATTGTTCTCCATTCATTTCAATGGCCAGGTCTTGGAGCAGAATCATCATAAGATCTCAGCTATCACCCTTGTCAGTGCTACATCCACTACTGCAAACATGACTATGAGCCCACAGGGAAAGTGGATCATATCTTCTCTCATCCCAAAACATTTTCAAGGTAAGAAATTCTTCCAATAGTTTTTCTTATGAATACAGGATCTTTTCTTCCCAAGCACTAATTCCCTCATTCTCCTTTACCCTTTCAAGCCACATATGCTCCAGACATACATGCCTCAGTCCTGAGAACAGAATTTCGTTTTTCTGCCCTTAGACTTATAACACATTAGTTGGGATAGAGGAAGTGGAGAAATTGACAAAGTTTTTTTTTTTAAATGAAGCAAAAGCTGGAAAAAGGTCTACTTCCTCAAAAGGAGAAATAAGGAAGGAAGTAAATGCATATATAGAGATATTCTTCTTTGGGCTACTTAGTATTCAGCCAAAGAAAAAACCTAAGTGCTAGAACAAATTAAACATCTGCAAATTTATGGAAGCACTAAGTTATAGAAAGCGCAAAAGATTTAACATGAAAAGATTATCTTTTATAACAAGATGAACACAAAGCCTGGCACAAAGAGGAACCCAGTGAATGAAGCTGAATAGAAAAAGCATAGTATTTAACTAGCTAAGGAGTGAACTTTATTTTTTTTTAAGATTTTATTTATTCATTTGCAAGAGAGACAGAGAGAGGACAAGCAGGGGGAGAGGCAGAGGGAGAGGGAGAAGCAGACTCCCTGCTGAGCAAGGAGCCCGATGCGGGACTCGATCCCAGGACCCTGGGATCATGACCTGAGCCGAAGACAGAGGCTTAACCATCTGAGCCACCCAGGCACCCGAACTTTAAAGAATATCGATAAGTTTTGGTAGGAAAAAAAATCAACCCCGGTTGTTATGTGGTATCATATAAACAAAATAACTAATTGTTCTATTATACATTGTTGCTGTAAAACTGTTGGGAATACCCCTGAAACAAATAATCATTATATGTTAATAATTAATAAATAAATAAATAAATAAATAAATAAATAAAAATAAAAATAAAAATAAAATAAAACTGTTGGAAAGAGCGTCTGTGTAAATAGAGGCCAAAATGGAAGTAAATGATATCACTATAGGAAATTATTTTCTTAGAAAACAATGTATATAAAAGCCAGACACATAAGAAAGAGACATTTTGAATAGACCATTTTGTTTCCTGTTCACACTGAGCAACCAAAATTATATTTGAAATCATGAGATTGTCACAATACCCTTGGAAGATAGAGTCCCCAATAATAATAAAACAACAACAAAACTAACATTGACATTAAGCACTATGTATATTAACTTATTTAATTTTTAACAATTTTATATAGTATGTACTATTATTATCTCCATTTTACAAATAAAGGGACAGATAACAGCAAAAATGAGAAATCAACAAGACTTAAGTCATAAGATTTTAAGGATCTGGAAATTACATTTTTTTCCCTCTGAAAGAAACAAAGGAAATCTTTTCATGTTTTCTCCCTAACCCATCCTCTCTTTCCTTTGCTTTTAATTCTCACCCTTTCTCTATGACACTAAAAGAGCTGCAGACCAAAATGTTCAGAAGTTTCCTGAGCAGTATGTTTACTGTTATTATTTAAACCTTCCACAGATTTATTTAAAAGATAGGCATTTTGATCAGCTGTAATTTCTTCTCTCAAATTCTTTCATTGCCTTTGCATTCTAATTCAGCTGGAATGCAGGCTTACATAGACATTAAAAACTGTGCAAAGAAAACCAGGAATCCTAAGAAACTAACTCGTGATCAGAGGCGGCACATGAAGAGGTGGGAATACTTCATTGCTGCAGAGGAAGTCATTTGGGACTATGCACCAATAATACCTGCGAATATGGACAAGTGAGTTTTGGGGTTCTTACCACTATGTGAAGGTTCAGGGGTCTTAGATGCATGGGGTGAAATGCCATGAGTTGACAGCTCTCAAGGGTGTACATGTACTGGGTTCAGGTCTTGTTGTCCAAATCAATCTGGAATTACTCTAAACTCACCATGGGAACTCAGCAGCATAAGAGGAGTAGTAGTAGTAGCAGTAGTAGTAGTAGTAGTAGTAGTAGTAGTAGTAGTAGTAATAGTAGTAGTAGCAGTAGTAGTAGTAGTAATAGTAGTAGCAGCAATAATATTACTAGTAATAGCAGCTACCACTTGTTGGATGCTTGTTATTGCTAAGCACTGTGTGAAACATTTCCTATGAGTTTTACTTTAACTCTCCACATTAGAAACAGCTTTTATTTATTTTGTAGACTAGAAAAGATGTCAGAGAGAGTAAGAAATTTGGAAATTCAAATAACTCTTAACACTTGAAAAATACTCAAGCTCACTCACAATAAGAGAAGTGCAAATTAAACTCCACTGAGATACTATTTTCCACCTCGCAGACTCGCAAGTCCAGATGACATGATCTGTTGGCAAGGCTGTAGGAAACAAGCACTATCATACATTATTGGTGAAAGAGTAATTTGATACGGCTATTCAAGTGCATGCTTTGACAATACGCATCACAATTATAAATGCATATCCTCACAATTATAAATGCATATATCCTCTGACCCAGCAATCTTACTCCAGTAACTTACTATATAGATATACCTGTTCACATATGAAATGATGTTATGTACTGGATATCCACTGCTGCACTGTGAGTAGTAGCAAAGATTTGGAAACAACCCAAAATGTCCATCAATAGGAAATTAGTTTAATAAATTATGGCACATCCATATGATGGAATACTATACATCTGTTTTCAAAAGAGGATGTAAACACTCTCTATGTACTAGTATAAAAAGTTCTCCAAGATATGTTGTTAGATTAAGAAGCCAAGGGAGGAAAAAATGGCAGAATAGGAGGTCCCCTGCTCATATCCCTCCACAGCAATAGTAATTTGACAGCTATCCACAAACAAAAGTACTTCTGTGAGAGCTTTGGGATCCAGGTAGGAATTTGAGAAATTCCAAGATCTTCCCAATGGAAGCCAAGACCAAGGAGGGATATTTTGAGAAGGCACATCATGCTCAGGTGATAGATTCACTGACAGTGCTCCCAGCTACAAACTCGGTTATAGCCTTGTCCCGTTATCTCAGCTACAGCCCCACTTGGCCTTGGTCTTGACACCAGCATCATTTGCCAAAGGACCCGGAAGAAGTCACACCTGTCCATGACCCTGGAGGGTGGCCTACAGACCCTGGCCTGAGTATGGATCTTAAAGTGGCCCTGTAACCAGTTCCAGCCCTGGAATAGTCCTGCCAACTCAGGGACTTTCAGGGCATCATGCCCATCCATGCCCCTGGAGGCTGGTCTGCAGACCTCAGTTCCTCCAAAGATCTTGAAGCATCACTGTAACCCAGCTCCAACTCTCCCAATTGTAGTCTTGCCCACCCAGGGACTACCCAGTGACCTGGTGGGAACCTTCTCAAGGACCAGATGGGAGCTATACCCATCAAAAAACCTAATAACAGTCCTGCCATTTACAGATTCAACTTTAGATCTTGAAATAAGCCACTAACCCAGCATTAGCTCTACTGACCAAGGTCCTAGAGGCAGTCGCATCTTCCCAGAGACCAGACAGGATCCATGCCCACCTGAGCCCCTGGCAAAAGGCCCACCAACCACAGATACTGCTACAGGCTCAAAAGCAGCCACATGAACTTGTTCCAACTTCACTCATCACAGAGGCAATCCCAGCAGCCCAGAGACTTGACAGGAGAAGGTGTTTACCTGACAAAATCACTTAGTAAAGACTGGAAGAGGGTGTTTCCTCCTTCAAATGTACATGAACACAAGGCTACATGAATCACAAAAAAATCAGGCAAATATGACACCACCAAAGGAAACTAATAAAGCTCAAATAACCAATGTGAAAGAAATAGAGATCTACAAATTGTCTGACAAAAAATTCAAAATAATCATCTTAAGGAAGCTCAGTGAGTGCAAAAGGACAGATAGGCAACGAAATGAAATCAGGAAAACAATGCATGAATAAAATAAGTGTTAAGAAATAAATAAAAACCACAAAAAATAACCAAACAGAGAAACCAGAACTGAAGGATATAATGACGGAACTAAAGAATTCAATAGAGAGCTTCAATAGCAGACTTGATCATGCAGAAGAAAGATTCCACAAACTCAAAGATAAGTAATTTGAAATTATTCAGTTACAGAGACAAAAAAGGAAAAAAAAGAATGGAAATGAGTGAAGGAAGCTTACAATACCTATATTCACCATCAAAAGGATTAATATATACATTATGAGAGTCCCAAAAGGAGAAGAAATGAACGGGCAGAATGCTTATATAAAGATAGTGACTAAAATCTTCCTGAATCTTGGGTTATAGATATACGGATTCATGAAGCTCAAAGGACTCCAAGCAATATCTACCCAAAGATTATCCTGAGATACATGATAATCAAATTGTCAAAAGTCAAAGACAAAGAGAGAATCCTGAAAGTAGCAAGAGATAAGCAACTTGTCATATAAAAGGGGACCCCCATAAGACTATCCACAGATTTCTTAGAAGAAACCTTGTAGGCTAGGAGAGTGTGGGATGATAAACTCAAGGTGCTGCAAGGAAAAAAAAAAACCCCTCTGCCAACAAAGAATAGTATACTATACTCAGCAAAGCTTTTCTTCAGAAGTGAAGAGATTTCTTCAGAAGTGAAGAGACATTCCAAGACAAAGAAAAGCTGAGGGAGTTCAACATCACTAGGCATGCCTTATAAGAAATGCTAAAGAGAGTTCTTCAAGTTGAAATGAAAGGACACTAAGTAACAACATGAAAACAAAGTATAAAAGTTTCTGGTAAAGGTAAATATATAGTCAAATTCAGAATATTTTAATACTGTAATGGTGGTGGTACATAATGACTTTTAACTCTAGTTAAAATTCAAAAAAAAAAAAAACTTTAAAATAAAAGTCTAAAGACAAAAGTATTAAAAAAAAAAAAAAAAAATACTTTGTTAATGGATATACAATATAAAAAGATCTAAAGTGTGACATCAACACACAAATTAGGAGGGAGTAGTAAGAGTGTAGAAATTTTTATGCAATTGAATTTAAGCTGTCATCACCTTAAAGTAAACTGTTAGAACTATAAGATGTTTTATGTAAGCCCCATGGTATCCACAAGCAAAAACTTCTACCTCTAGTAGATACACAAAAGATAAAGGAATTAAAACCTGCAAATACAAAAAATCAACAAATCACAAGGAAAATAGCAACAGAGGAAGAAAGGAGCAAAAGAACTACAAAAAAGTCAGAAAACAACAAAATAGCAATAGTAAGTCCTTACCTAGCAATGCTTATTCTAAATGTAAATGGATTAATTCTCCAATCAAAAGATAACAGAGTAGCCAGATGGATAAAAAACTAAGATCTAACAATGTACTGTCTACAAGAGACTCACTTTAGCTTTAAGGACACACATTGGTTAAAAGTAAAGGGATAAAAAGATTTTCCATGCAAATTGTAACCAAAGAACAGGAGTGGCTATACTTATATAAGACAAAATAGACTTTAAGTCAAACTGTCATAAGAGACAAGGTCACTCACTATATGATAAAGGGGTTAATTTATCAAGAGGCTATAACAATTATAAATATATATGCCCCTAACATTGAACCACCTAAATATATGAAGTAGATATTAACAGAACTGAGTGTAGAAATAGACAACAATACAATAATAGTGGGGGATTTAAATACCTCACTTTAAACAATAGATAAATCATCCAGACATAAAATCAGTAAGGAAACTGAAATTGAATAATACTATAGACCAAGTGGACCTAATAGACATGTAAAGAACAATCCATCCAACAGCAGCAGAATATATATTCTTCTCAAGTGCACATGAAATATTCTCTAAGATACATCATATGTTAGGCCACAAAATAAGTCTTAACAAAATAATATCAAGTGTCTTTTCTGACCACAGTGGTATGAAACTAAAAATCATAACAGAACCAAAATTGGAAAATTCACAAATATTTGGAAATTAAACACACTTTCTAGAATGGTCAAAAAGAAATCTGATGGGAAATCAAAAAAAATATCATGAGACAAGTGAAAATGGAAACACAACATACAAAAAAAAAAAAATACAGCAAAAACAGTTATGAGAGAAGTTTATAGAAGTAAATGCATACATTAGAAAACAAAGAAAGTTCTAAAATAAACAACCTAACTTTATACCTCAGGGAGCTGGGGGAGGGGGGAATGAGCAAATTAAACCCAAAGTTAGCAGAAGGAATGAAATGAAGATTAGAGGAAAGATAAATGAGGTAGACACTGGAAAAACAATAGAAAAGATCAACATAACCAAGAGCTGGTTTTTTGAAAAGATAAACCAAACTGACAAACCTTTAGCTAAACTAACCAAGGGAAGAGAGGACTCAAATAGTTAAAATTGTAACTGAAAGAGGAGACACTACAATTGATATCACAGAAGTGCAAAGGATCCTGAGAGACTACTATAAATGATGATATGCCAACAGATTGTATAGTCTAGAATAAATGGACAATTTCCTAGAAATATACACCCTACCAAGACGAATCATAAAGAAATAGAACATCCGAACAGACTAGTAACAAGTAAGAAGATTGAATCAGTAATCAAAAATCTCTGAACAAAGAAAAGCCCAAAATCACATGGCTTCACAGATGAATTATACCAAACATTTAAAGAAGAACTAACACTAATCTTCAAATTCTTCCAAAATATTGAAGAGGAGAGAACATTTCCAAACTTATTTTACAAGGCCAGCCTTATCCTCATGCCAAAGCCAGATAAGGACAATACAAGAAAAGAAAATGATGGCTCAATATCCTTGTTGAACACAGATGCAAAAAGCCGCACCAAAATATTAGCAAACCAAATACACAGCACATTAAAATGATCATACACCATGATCAAGTGAAATTATCCCTGGGATGCATGGATTTTTCACCATGCACAAATCAATAAATGTGATCTACCACATCAACAAAATGAAGGCTAAAAGTCATAACAACAACCTATTTGATGCAGAAGAAGCAATTGACAAAATTCAACATCTTTTCATGATAAAAACTCTCAACAAGTTAGGTATAGAAGAAATGTACCTCAACATAATAAAAGCCATATATGACAAACCCAAAGCTAACACATACTCAAAGAAAGCTGTTTCTCTAAGATCAGGAACAAGACAAGAGTGCCTACCATTTTTAATCAAGATAGTGCTAGAAATCCTAACCAGAGCAATCGGGCAAGAAAAAGAAATAAAAGATATCCAAATTGGTAAGGAAAAAGTAAAATTATCTCTCTTTGCAGATGATATGATTTTACATATAGAAAACCCTTAACACTCCACCAAAAATCTATTAAAACTAATAAAAGAATGCAGTAAGTTGCAGGGTATGAAATCAACATATAAAATTAGCTGCACTTATTTTTTTTAATATTGTATTTATTAGAGCAAATGAGAAAGAGAGAGCATAAGCAGGGGCCGGGGCAGAGGGAGAGGGAGAAGCAGACTCCCTGCTGAGCAGGGCGCCTGATGTGGGGCTTGATCCCAGGACTCTGAGATCATGACCTGAGCTGAAGTCAGGTGCTTAACTGACTGAGCCACCCAGGTGCCCCTAGCTGCACTTATTAAACTAAAAACAATCTATCCAAAACAGAAATGAAGAAAACAATACCATTTCAATAGAAATAAAAATAATAAAATGCTTAAGGAATAAATTTAACCAAGGAGGTGAAAGATCTATACACCAAAAACTGTAAGATATTGATGAAAGAAATTGAAGAAGAGACAACCAAATAGAAAGATGTTCTATGTTAATGGATTGGAAGAATTAATTTTGTTAAACTGTTCATATTAATCAAAGCAATCTACAGATTCAATACAATCCCTATCAAAATTCCAGAGGCACTTTTCATGAAAATAGAAAAAACAATTCTAAAATTCATATGGAACCACAAAAGATTCGAAATAATCAAAACAATCTGGAACAAGAAGAGCAAAGCTGAAGGCATCACACTTTTTATTTCAAACTTTATTACAAAGTTATAGCAATCAAACAGTATAATAATGGCATAAAAACAGACACTTAGACCAATGAAGACAGATAGAGAGCCCAGAAGTAAACACATACATATATAGTCAACTAATCTTTGACAAGAGCACTAAAAATACACAATGGGGAAAATATAGTCTGTTCAATAATTAATGTTGGAAAAACTGGATATCCACATGCAAAAGAATGAAATTGGACCCTTAGCTCATAGTATACACAAAAATTAACTCCAAATAGATTAAATATTTAAATATAAGACCTGAAACCATAAAACTTCTAGGAGAAAAGGTAGGAAGAAAGCTCTTTGACATGGGTCTTCCCAGTGATTTTTTGGGATATGACACAAAAAGCACAGGCAACAAAAACAAAAATAAACAAGTGGGCCTACATCAAACTAAAACATTTCTGTACAGCAAAAGAAACAATAAAACAAAAAAGCAATCTATGAAATGAGAGAAAATATTTGCAAACCATATCTCTAATAAGGTGTTGAAACCTAAAATATATCAAAAAAACTCAATGACAAAAATTAAAAAAAAAAACCACCTGATTTAAAAATGGGGAAAGGTGGGCCTGACTGGCTCAGTCAGTGGAGCATGGGACTCTTGATCTTGGTGTTGTGAGTTCAAACCCCATTTTGGGTGTAGAGATTACTTAAAAATAAAATCTTTAAAAAATAATAAAATAATAAAATAAATCTTAGAAAAATGAGCAAAGGACATAAATTGAAATTTTTCCAAAGAAGATATATAAATGGCAAATAGATATATGAGAAGGTCTTCAACATCACTAGTCATTAGGGAAATACAAATTATATCCACAATGAGATTATGACCTCATACCTGTGAGGGTGGTTATTACAAAAAAGAGGTAACCAGGGTTGGTGAGAGTATGAAGAAAATGGAACTCTGTACACTGTTGGCGAGAATATAAATTGGTACAGCCATTATGGAAAATAGTAAGAAGGCTCCTCCAAAAATTAAAAATAGGAGTACCATATGATCCAGCAATTCCACTTCTGAATATATATCCAAAGGAAATATCAAGGAAATATCAATATCAATATCTTAAAGAGATATCTGCATTCCCATGTCCATTGAAGCATTATTCACAATAGCTAAGATATGGAAACAACCTGAGTGTCTGTTGATGGATGAATGGATAAAGAATATCACACACACACACACACACACACACACACACACACAGGAATATTACTCAGCCTTAAAAACACACACACACACACACACACACAATTTAAAACAATGTGGATGAACCTGCAAGACATCATGCTAAGACTCATTTCAGACACAAAGCAACAAATACTGCATGATCTCACTTATATGTGGACCTAATTAAGCAGTATGGTGACTATAGTTAATATTTTATATTTGAAATTTGTTAAGACAGTAGATCTTAAGTGTTCTCACCACAAAAAAGAAAATAGTAACTAGGTGAGGTGATGGAAGTGTTAATTAGCTTAATTGTGGTAATCACATATATACATACATAAATCATCATGTTGTACTTCTCAAATATATACAATTTTTATTTGTCAAAATCACCTCAGTAAAGCTGGGAAAATGCAAAAAAAGGTCAAGGTGACTTTTGTTAAAAGAATGAGAGTATAAGAATATTTATATTTTCAAGTTATATTTGCATACTTATGCATAAAGATGCTCTGGAATTATACATATGAAATTAATGCAAGTGAATATGTAGAAACTATTTAGAAAATGCGGGGAAGGTCAGGGAGGTGGGGTTGATGGGGAAAAAAGTGTGAGTGAGAGCTCTCTACTGTAATCAAAATCATTTGAATGTATTTGCTATTCAAAAAAATTTGAGAAAAAGAGCTAAAAAGGAACTTGCTCAAGATTATAAAAAAATAATTGATGGAACTGAGATAAGATTCCAGGATTCTGGCAATAGTGTGTGCTTTTTATTGTGCAAAATAAATGCAGAAAATGAGTAAATTCTGTCATGGAACTTCTGTTTTTGCGAACTAAGGCAATAAAGAGGACCGAGAGGAAAAGTGGTTCTTGCTGCTGCCCCAACTCTTGTATCAAGGTAGCTACAGAAGATGGGTGGAGGTGGTTGCTTTTTAGTTGGCACTAGGATTGTGTGGATGGTTGGAGGGTGAGCCCAACAGCACAGAACTATGACTAATAAAGATAGTCAAAGCTTCCTAGTGTGGGAACATAACTTTTAGAGATTGAGAAACACCTGGGAAGTCAATAAAGTTACCATAAATTAAGTGATAACAAAGACTTGAGAAAAAACTCACAGTATGTCCTCTCCTTTCTTTTGGATAGACATTTTCCCGGAGATAGCTAAGATCTAATCTAGTGACCAGAGTGACAGGAAGTTCTAAGTAGCTGTTCCTAACCATGTCTACAACTTTATCAGTGATGGAAGAGACAAAGGTTTCCAGTTTTCCAACTAGAGAGCAGATATTGGGACTTTGCAAACCACATTAAGAATTTTTTTTTTTTTTTTTTTAGAAAACTAGCATTTTAACTAATCCAAGTTTTTTTTTTTTTTTTTTTAGGATTTCCTCATCCTACAGGGTCTTTATTGAGCAAACGGTTTAATTTTTAAAAAAATTCATTTCACTTTAAGAAAATACAGATCTCTGCATTTGGATAATTTCTCAAACCAAATTGGAAAACATTATAAGAAGGTCGTCTACAAACAGTACCAAGATGAGTCTTTCACCAAACGTTTGGAGAATACGAATATCAAAGAAGATGGGATCTTGGGCCCTATTATCAGAGCCCAAGTCAGAGATACACTCAAAGTAAGTAACAGAAATATAGTACCATGGGAGAAATTAAATAGGAAAGATAGTTTATAAGTACTGGTTATATGTTTGTATTAAAAGGAAAAATATGTCCATGTAGTTTTTAATTCAAATGCAACTTTAGTTTTTATGTAGTATTTGCTCTGATTTATAGCCTACCTCATCTGAGACAATCTATTAAATTATAAAGGAATAAAACAAAGAGCCAATGTAATTGAGGTGAAGGATAATATGGGACAAAGAAAATAAAGCCATGGATAAGTATAATGAAACACATGCCTTATGCTCCTATAAGATTGCCTACAAATTTTGTCCAAAGCTTTCTAGCATCCGAGTAAAATATGTCAGGACGAGATTCACAGTAGTCATAAAGAAAACATAATTTCCCTTGACACTGAGGCTAGTTTATCCCATGGATCCTTAAAAAGAGGATGCTGTATAATACAGTGGATGGAATCCTTGATAGAATCCCTACAATTGGTATAATAAATAAGTTGCTGGGGTGCCTGGGTGTCTCAGTCAGTTAAGTGTCCAACTCTTGATTTTGGCTCAGGTCATGATTTCAGGGTACTGAGATGGAGCCTGCATCGGGCTCCACGCTCAGCAGGGAGTCTACTTGAGATTCTCTCTCTCCCCCTGCCCCTCCCGCACCACGCGTGCACTTTCTCTCTCAAATAAATAAATCTTGAATGAATGAATGAATGAATGAATAAGTAACAAAGCTTTGTAAAATAATGTTTGTCATTATAGCTGAGAACATAACAGTAAATACAATTGACTATAAACAAGTCATCATTGTGCTCTAGGTATGTAGTTCTCCCATGACTGGTCTCTGATGGAGGTAAATTTAGATATGATTCAAGAACACTGAGTGTTCCTTAGACAGCTTTCCTTAAATATATGTCACGTCATCGAGCTTCTGATAGGAACTGGGCAGCAGAGAAGTAAATGTTGCAAACTTCGGCAAGATTCTAGAATGTGGATAATCTACAGATTAAGGATGATCCAAATGCTTTGGCAATCAACCAACAGAAGATAAGATTAAGGTTTTCTTTTGAAGATTAAGAAGCCTAACTAGGACTCCCGTGTACATAATGCTCCTCCCTTCACCCCTTTGTGGGGGTGAACTAACACATCTGTACGCAAGGACAATTCTGTTCATTTAAAAATAACAAAAGGATAGAAAGCAGCCTTTCTCTGTTCTTCTTTCCCTTCCCTCATTTCTGATTTCCCCCATCCCTTATCGGTGCTTTTTAGCAGGTGTAAATATACCTCACTGGAAATTCAGGATCTGGCTATTTGTGTGCCCCTCAGAAGATGACACCAAGGACAGTGCCCTAGGAGATCTGCCAGGCTGGGGAAGGGGATCATGGTCTAAAGAGGAGAAGGAACAGATCTGAAGGCAGATGTGGTCCAAGCTGAGAGGAGAGGGGAAGGGGAACTGGGATCGGTGTGGAAAGAGTGATATATTGTGAGGAAAATGTCACTTCTAAGGGCAGACTTCTCTTTCCATTTTCCACCTTACCATGTGAGTGAAACAGTCTCAAAAGTTTCTGCCAGGTGATGGGGAGAGGTTGCTGCTCAGGGAAACAAAACTAGTTTGCGTGCACACACACACGCACCCTCCAACAAGTGAATTTGCAAAGCTAACATCCTATATTAATTCTCACAATTGAACTTAAGTCCTGAAATAATGAATTTGAGTTAACTTTGTAGATCGTGTTCAAAAATATGGCCAGCCGCGTCTACAGCATTTACCCTCATGGAGTGACCTTCTCTCCTTATGAAGATGAAGTCAACTCTTCCTACATTTCAGGTTTGAATCAGAGTCTGCTGAATGAAACTATTCACCTCTGAGAGGCTGTCATATTTTCTTAGTGTCCTCTTTGCTCAGTAATATAACTTGCACAGTCAGGTAGTATACAAGTAGGGTATCCTAAAAGTCGGAACCAAACCCTTCTCACTTAGGGATTTTGTTTACCCTAGTGCTTACCAAATATGGTGTTCTTTGTTGGTGCCATAGCGGCCTCTAGTGGAGCAATCTCTAATGGCGACATGTAATCCAAGGTTCTGTTAAGTGGAGCTTGATAGAAAAATATTCCTTTCCTAATATTAATTGGTTCTAATAAGAACTCACTGTTTGTTTAATGTAATAATTTTGAAAACGAAGCAATTTTGACTCTATTTTCTTTCAGGCAATAACACCATGATCAGAGCAGTTCAACCAGGGGAAACCTATACTTATAAGTGGAACATCCTAGAGTCTGATGAACCCACAGAACATGATGCACAGTGCTTAACAAGACCGTACTATAGTAATGTGGATGTCACAAGGGACATTGCCTCTGGGTTGATCGGGCTACTTCTGATTTGTAAGAGCAGATCCCTGGATAAGCGAGGCATACAGGTATTCTGTCCACAAACTAAACTTTTAGAAATTCCAGGAACTGCTTCAGGCTGGAACAGATTAGGTCTCCTTGCTAAATAATGGGGTCTCTCCTTCTAGAGAACAGAAAATATTATGTTATCTTCTTTAGAGCAAATGTGATAACATTTATTCCTTTGTGGGTTTTCTTTTCCTTGTCTATTTTCATCTAGATTCTTACTCTGGAAGGCCGTTCTATAGTGTGACACCATAGTCTCTTTGTTTGTCTTTGCATATTACCTTTGGCTCTAACAAGGGCTTTGTACAAAATGGGCTCTCATAAATGCCTGAATTTGTGGCTGCAGTGGCCCCTAGACTGTGTCTCTTTGGTTTCTGAGAAGAACTCAGTGTTGTGGGTAATCAACTGGAACGTCAATCACTGAACACCGCACTTTTACCCTCCAGAGGGCAGCAGACATCGAGCAGCAGGCTGTGTTTGCTGTGTTTGATGAGAACAAGAGCTGGTACATTGAGGACAATATCAACAAGTTCTGTGAAAATCCTGAGAAGGTGAAACGTGATGACCCCAAGTTTTATGAATCAAACATCATGAGCAGTAAGTCAAACTACTGTTTTTGTCCATCAGTTTTTCACTCCCGTGCTTAAAGTATGACTGTGCATAAAGGCAGAGACATGGATTAGAATCCACTCACCTCTTATCCTCACTTGCAATCCAGGGATTTGGTGATGAAGTTACTGGGGGTTACTATAGCAACCTTTTTACAGCAAGAGGCCAAAAGCTTGTTCTCCTTAAGAAGTCTTCTTGGTCTCGTGCTCCAAATGTGCATGTACGGATATGCACATGCTTTGGGCACCTCCACTCTGGAGGAACAGGCTGAGGGGTGGGAGTGGTGAGGAAAGGGGCTACAAGCCTTGGTCAGTGGTATATGGGGATTTTAGACTGGGTGCAGGGTGAACAGTCTTTATAGCCAGGGCAGAAACAAGGTAAGTAATCCAAAGCTGGAAGGTCAAATCAAACGAAGGCAAAAGGCAGATGCGGAGCCAAGGATCATAAAAAGCCAATCATGAAGAGGTTTGAAGTGAACAGTGAGAATCTTGTTCAGAATAGAAGGAATTCCCTGAGCCAAAGTTCAGGCATTTGCTGTGGTTTTCAATTTCAGCACCTAAAGCCACTGCTATGAGAAGTCTAAGAGAAATTTCAGTAAGCCAGTTAGAAGCAAACTTTGCCATGGTGGTCAGGGTCCCCACCACTATTCCTCAGAGTCAAGAGCCATTATGATCACCTTCTCTGAGAGGTAATCTTGAACATGAGGATGACTTCTCCATGGTCTATTCACACACATAGTTTCAGATGAATTATTGGAATTCTCAGAACTGGCAGGTGCCCTGAAAATAATTCCAAACCGGGAGTTACTCAGCTTTCTTTGCATAATTTCATTTTTGGCAGTGAATCTGTCATAGGTTTGGGCTAGTGCTATCCATTAGAAATTATGTATGAGCCACATATATAATTTAAAATTTTCTAGTAGCCATATGAAAAATTAAAGAGAAATATATCCCAAATATTATCATTTCAACATATAACCAATATAAAAATTGATGAGATTTGCTTTCTTTATTTTGTACTAGGTCTCTGAAATCTGGCGTGTCTTTTGCACTTAACAGCACATCTCAATCCAGATTATCCACATTTCAAGTGCTCAATAGCCACTTGTATTTAGTGGCCACTGTATTAGACGGTACAGTTATAGACCATTTAGAAGAGCCTCCTGAATGAAATACAAACTAAAAACATATTGTCATTTAAGTGCTCACTAGTGCCAGGCGTCATACTAGTATCAGGGCTAGAGTGGGAATGCAGGCAGAGGTGGGCCCTGTCCTCATAGAAATCAAACCTGTGGGTGCCTGGGTGGCTCAGTTGGTTGGGCGACTGCCTTGGGCTCAGGTCATGATCCTGGAGTCCCGGGATCGAGTCCCACATCAGGCTCCCTGCTCGGCAGGGGGGTCTGCTTCTCCCTCTGACCCTCTTCCCTCTCGTGCTCTCTGTCTCTCATTCTCTCTCTCTCAAATAAATAAATAAAATCTTTAAAAAAATCAAACCTGTGATTTTATTACCATGCCTAGAACCTAAGTAAATAAATATACTACCGAAAGCTGTGTCCCTTTGAAAGATAGTGAAAATGTGTGAACTTGATACTTGAATAAAAACTATAGACGATCTCAATGATAAGAGGGAGCAATAAAAGTTGCCAAATGTGCTAAATATGCATGCCTTTTAGGGACATTACTTCTTATTCACCAGATAATGTGTCAAGATGAATTTCTTATATTGTGCTTTTCTTCCAGGTAGAATTATTCTAGATAATATTGTAAGTTGAGGTTTAGACTATTTTAAAAGCAGAATGTGGAAAACAAAGCATTTGATACACACTTGACAAATGAATGAATAAGTCAACGTGAATGAAAGGCTTTGTCTTTCTCCTGATATTTCTCCATGGATAACTTAGGAAAATAAGTTCTCATTTGGGAAGTCTGAGTTTGATCTAGTCACTAGGTAGACCTGATGAAGCTTATCATAATCACTGCTTTGACACAACCAAATTAATATTGGGACATTAATCTTAGGTATAATTTAGCCACATGCCCCTTTGTTGGCAGAGGCTTGCATGTTAACAGATTTTACTCTTTCAGCGATCAATGGCTACGTGCCTGAGAGTATACCCACACTCGGATTCTGCTTTGATGACACTGTCCAGTGGCACTTCTGCAGTGTAGGGACCCAGGATGACATTTTGACCATTCACTTCACTGGGCACTCATTCATCTATGGAAAGAGACACGAGGACACCTTGACCCTCTTCCCCATGCGTGGGGAATCTGTGACAGTCACAATGGATAATGTTGGTAAGAGCCTGGACACTTGGAGAGGAACCTCTGATCTATAAAGGTCTGCTGCAGCTTCCCAAACTATCACAGTTCCTGAGTTTATCTTTCTGATCCCTTACAGGCTTTCCTTTCAATACTTCTCATGATTTCTGTTTGGGGAATTAATTACTTAAATGGGTCTAGTCCTTTAATGTGGGTTCCATTTATCCTTCTCTGGGCTAAGTGAGAAGGAAAGACACAACATCAAAAAGATAAGGTATGACTTTGAGGAGGAAGCATGAACATTCAGCCACAAAAGAGCATTTCTTTTATCAAAACGGCCTTTTCAGTTTTTAAAGCTAGCCATGACACTGTGGGTTAGTTAGTGATCATCAGATACAGTACCTCGGAGGCTGGCCTCAGAGATGCAGTGGAAAGCATGGAAAGCACATGGGCTTTGGAGTTCCTCTGATGTGCTCTGGCACTCAGTATCTGTGTAACCTTGGACGTGTTATTCAACATCACTGAGCTTCCTTGTATTCATCTCAAAAACACAATCACACTTTACAGGGTTGCTTTGGCCATTAATTGTCATATATACCAAGTGCCTAGCACTCAGCACTCAACAAGTGGTAACGATTGGAGACGCCCCAGGAAATCTGTATGCCAGAAAATAATACCATTTCAAAGAGATTCAAAATTGCCCTGGGCCCACCTGAATCATTTACTGCTTAGAAATATCTAGATGTTTCTTACATCATCCTCCCCCTCACTTCAGTTTTCAAACAAGATGTGCAGCCAACAAGATGTTTATGATATTCAAAGCCCACTTTATACTTAATTCATCCCTTTTTAAATATATTCTAAAGCAGTGACTCTTAAATTATCTGTGATAAGAGTTTTCTCCTAATCTCCATTGATCAATACTTTCAGTCTATATTCTGTTATGTGAGATAAGTGCACTGATCACATGCTTGGTTGCACAGAAATGTCAGATTGCTAAGCAGTTTTCTAAACACTTTACACCCAATTTCTCTCCTTATGTCACTATAGGAGATGATTAACTGTTCCCAGATCATCAGTGACCCACAGACCACACTTGTTATCTCTGGCTGAAGTTCGTTGAAAATTATCTGCCACAATGGATCCTAGAGTCTTTATACCTTTTTCTGGGCTTAGAGCTCTCTGTTTTCTCTGCCTCTCTTCTATAGGTACTTGGATGTTAACTACAATGAATTCCAATCCAAGAAACAAAAACCTAAGGCTGAGATTCAGGGATGTTAAGTGTATCCAGGATGATTATGAAGACTCATACGAGATTATATATGAACTTCCAGCCTCTACAGTCATGACTACACGGAAAATGCGTGATTCTTCAGAAAACAGGGGTGAAGATGATGATGCTGACTATGATTACCAGAACAACCTGGCTTCATGGTTAGGAATTAGGTCATTCAGAAATTCATCACTGAATCAGAAGGAAGATGAGTTTAATCTTACTGCCCTAGCTCTCGAGAACAATTCTGAATTCATTCCTCCTAGTACCGATACAGCTGTTAGTTCAAATTCCTCTTCCCTAAGTAACATTCACAGGCTTATTGTCTATAACTTTGCAAAGCCTCAAAAAACTCTTCCTCACCCAACAGCCACCATAGCTCGTCCCCCTCTGGGACACATTGGCTTAGACAAGAACTCAGCTCTCAACCGTTCAACAGCAGAGCATTCCAGCCCTTATTCTGAAGACTCTATGGAGGATCCTCTACAGTCAGATATCACAGGGATAAGCCTACTTCCACTTGATGCAGAAGGATTCAGGAGTCAAGAACATACTAAGCATAAGGAATCCAAGAAAGGAAGAGAGCACACAGCAAAGCGTAGGTTCTCCCAAGTGGGATTTTCAGCACGTAAAACTAGGAGACGTTTAAGCCAAGGCAACTCTTCTCCTTCCAGAATGGGACCCTGGGAAGACCTTCCCAATGATCTGTTACTCTTAAAACAAAAGAATCCATCCAAGATTTTGAATGGGAAATGGCATTTGGTGTCTGAGAAAGGTAATTATGAAATAGTCCCAGAGGCTGTTGAAGACATGGCTGTTGATAAGCTGCTGGACAGCCCCCAGAATGCCTCAAGGACTTGGGGAGAAAACATCCCTCTCATAAACAAGCACAGAAAGAAGAGTGGCCACCCAAAACTTTCTGGAATTAGAAATAAATCTCTACAAGTAAAACAGGACGAAGGAAACAGTGGATTGAAGAAAATCCATCTTTTCATTAAAACACGAAAAAAGAAAAAAGAAGAGAAGCTTGCACACCATATTCCTCTATCTCCAAGGGGCTTCCACCCTCTAAGAGGAAAGGCCAATACCACATTTTCAGATAGGAGACTTGATCATTCATTGTTACTCCGTAAATCCAATGAAACATCTTTTCCCACAGACCTCAATCAAACATTCCCCTCTGTGAATTTTAGCCTGTTAGACTCACTTCCTTACCATAATCATAATCCCTCAAATGACACCAGTCAGACAAGCTCCCCTTTAGATCTTTATCAGACAATACCCCCAGAAGAATACTATCAAACATTCCCTATTCAAGACTCTGGTCAAATGCACTCCACTACAGACTCTAGCCACACATCCCCTCCAGAGCGTGGCCAGATGCTTGACTATGACCTAAGAAACAAGCCATTCCCTACTGACATTGGTCAAATGTTCCCTTCCTTGGAACCTGAAGCCTGGCAGGCAACCATTTCTGCAGATTTCAGTCAACCAAACCTTTCCCCTGATCTTGACCATACAACTCTTTCTCCAGACCTCAGCCAGACAACATTTCCTCCAGACCTCGACCAGACAACATTTTCTCCAGACCTCGACCAGACAACCTTTTCTCTAGATCTTGACCAGACAAGCTTTTCTCCTAACCTCAGCCAGACAACCTTTTCTCCAGACCTCATCCAGACAACCTTTTCTCCAGATCTTGACCAGACAACCTTTTCTCCAGACCTCAGCCAGACAACTTCTTCTCCAGATCTTGACCAGACAACCCTTTCCCCAGACCTTGGCCAGACAACTTCTTCTCCAGACCTTGACCAGACAACACTTTCCCCAGACCTTGGCCAGACAACCTTTTCTCCAGACCTCAGCCAGACAACCTTTTCTCCAGACCTCAGCCAGACAACTTCTTCTCCAGACCTTGACCAGACAACCCTTTCCCCAGACCTTGGCCAGACAACCTTTTCTCCAGACCTCAGCCAGACAACCTTTTCTCCAGACCTCAGCCAGACAACCATTTCTCCAGACCTCAGCCCGACAACCTTTTCTCCAGACCTCAGCCAGACAACTTCTTCTCCAGACCTTGACCAGACAACCCTTTCCCCAGACCTTGGCCAGACAACCTTTTCTCCAGACCTCAGCCAGACAACCATTTCTCCAGACCTCAGCCAGACAACCATTTCTCCAGACCTCAGCCCGACAACCTTTTCTCTAGACCTCGACCAGACAACCTTTTCTCTAGATCTTGACCAGACAACCTTTTCTCCAGACCTCAGCCAGACAACCCTTTCCCCAGACCTCACCCAGACACCCTTTTCTCTAGACCTTGACCAGACAATCTTTTCTCCAGACCTCAGCCAGACCACCCTTTCCTCAGATCTCAGCCAGGAGACTCTCTTATCAGACATCAGCCAGATGACTCTTTCTCCAGACCTTGATCAGATGCTCCCTTCCCCAGACCTCAACCAGGCAACTCTCTCTCCAGACATTAGTCAAACGGCCCTTCTTCCTGATCTAAAGACATCACTTCCTCAGACATCCTACACCCCTGAATCTAGTCAGTCAGTGCTTCTTCCAGAATTTGGTCAGACTTTCCCTTATCCAGACCTAGGTCAGGTGCCATCTCTCCCACCATCTCCTACCCTAAAGAGCAATTTTATGCCAAGAGAACTTAATCCACCCATTGTAGTGGGCCTCAGTGCAAATGGTGGAGATTATATTGAGATTATTCCAAGGCAGAAGGAAGAGAGCAGCGAAGAATACACTGCTGAAATTGATTACGTGGCCTATGATGACCCTTACCAAACTGATACTAGGACAGACATTAACTCCTCCAGAAATCCTGACAACATTGCAGCATGGTACCTCCGCAGCAACAATGGAAACAGAAAATATTATTACATTGCTGCTGAAGAAGTATCCTGGGATTATTCAAAATTCGCTCAAAGGTTTGGCCAAATTTTCTCTTTTTACATTCTCAGTTTTCCACTACTGCTAAAAAGATTGTTAAAGTCCAGGGAAATAATTCTGGGCAAATTATACTAAGTATAATTTAGGTCCCCTATTGCCACTTGCCCTATACAATTTCCTTTGTCAATTCCAAGGTTAGCTTCTCTACGTTAGGGGACATTTGGACAATATAAGAACAATCACTATAAGAAATCTATGATATTCTATAAAGAAGCTCCCTCTTCTCTCTTCTGCTCTCACCACACATGTTCCTACCCCCTTTCCTTGCCTCAGTGCAGAGCCCAACCTATCCATAGCTATCTGCTAATCAACATGATTTCATTGAAGTTGGCTTCAAATCCAAATTTGTAATGTAGAAATCTCCTTTTGCACTTGGTTATCAAAAAATATTTTTAAATTGTTTACTGATCAATGTAAAGTATACAACATCTTGGTGATGTTGGATTCAAATTACATGAGATTCCAGTAGCAGAGGCCAAGGATATAAACCAGTTTAGAAACAAAAAGCAAGTTTATACCTTCTACTGAGGCAGTCATTCAATGATGATTTACCTTGATTTAAACTTGAGTTTTAACTTGGCTTATAGAATCACTCATTTAATAATTTCGTTTTTTAAATGAAGGTGTTACACTGAACAGCCCCCAAGATCCTCTTTGGATTTAACATTTCAGGGTTCCAGCCACTCTTCAACCATAAAGTTGAAGGAGTTCATGCAATTTTGTAAAAGTGGCCTAACTTACAACAGAGAGTTTCCAAGGGATCCATAGACATTTTTAAAAGAGTTTTCAATTCAATTCTGCTTAAGGATGGAAAGCCATAATGGGCTGGACTCTGTATTCTGGGATGACAATATAGAGAAAGAAGAGAGGGAGGCACAAGGGGCAAGGCTTAGTCAGCTACAGAGTCTCAGGGACACAGCATGGTGACCATGCTTAAACTGTCTAAATATAAGACACAGCTTTTATAAAAGCTAATGGTTACACTAAAACTAAAAACCAAAGTGTAATTAGAGTAAGCAAACACAATGCATGGTATGGCTTACAGACAAAAAAAAATTATTTAATTAATCTGATATCTGGCATTTCCATATTAGAACTATGTTAGTTTAAAACACATTTTCAGGACATGTGGGTGGCTCAGTTGGTTAAACTTACAACTCTTGATTTCAGCTCAGGTCATGATGTCAGGGTTGTGAGATTGAGACCCACGTCGGGCTCCATGCTGGGCATGGAACCTGCTTAAGATTCTCTCTCTCTCCCTCTGCTCTTCCTCCCACCCCCTCCCCCCAAAAATAATTAAAAAACACATTTTCCTATGACTTCCTATTTAAATGTAGCACCCATTGCTATATGAGAATAAATAGTTTATCTAGGGATTTCTAGGAGAGGCCCTGAAGGAGTAAGATTTAGGGCCTTTCCAAAGTGGAAAGGGATGGAACTAGTTCCTTCAAAATCTTATATACCATTACAGATATGCAACCCATGTTTATGGCAGTCAAAGTTGCTTTACTTGTCCCCATGTGTTCTGTGAAACTATGTTATGCTTAGTGTCTGGAAGGATGGGGTCAGTAGGGTAGGAACACTGGAAAGAAGGAAGAATGGGTTTCTCTGTTGATGGCTCATGGTGCATAACAAATACTATGAGACTGACGGATGAGCTTTTGGCCTGTTTCCATAGGCTTGGGAAATTTAGGAGTCGGTGAGAAAATATGATGTGCTCTGGCCCCAGACTGAACTGATGAATTACACAAGGAATAATGTCATTTTAAAAAAGGAAATGAGAAAAGAATGGCTACTTTCAGAGTATAAAACCCCCAGCCATCTAGTGGCCTTCACAGGGGTGACCATTGATACCTGACAGCCCCAAGCCCTGGCACTATCCAATTGCATGGCTTTGTCTGCGTCTGATATTTAAAATCTGCTATGTGATATATGATTATATTTGTTCATTAATGCATTAAACAAAAATCTATCAAGTGCCTACTATGTGCCAGATAACTGGCTAGGTACTAAAAATAAAAGAATGAGCAAATTAGGCATGATCCCTGACCTCATGGGGTTTTCACTCTAGTATTAGAGTCAGATCAGATTCGAATAGATAACCTCACAAATAAATGACATATAATTTACTATATATACTAGAGAAATATAAGACTACTACAGGAATATACTGTATATACTATAGCAACACTATGGAAACTTAAGGAATAATATAGAGAGATTTAACATATAAACGTTTATAGGAGGACTTACCTAAGAAATGATATGTGAGCTCGGATCTGAAGGATATTTACTGGCTTAAGTTTTTACTTAGTCATATTTTCATTCATTTGTTCTTCAAGTACCAATTAAATATTCATGCTAGATATTATACTCAGAAACAGGGATAATTCCCCCAATTTCTTTGAGTGGTCTTTCATTTGTTCTTTTAAACAAATAGTATTCTTATTATTATTTCAGTGAAGACATTGATGATGTTCCAGAGAATACCATATACAAGAAAGTAGTCTTTCGAAAGTACCTCGATAGCACTTTTACCAAACGTGATCCTTTGGGGGAGTACGAAGAGCATCTCGGCATTCTTGGTCCTATTATTAGAGCTGAAGTGGATGATGTCATCCAAGTAAGTCATTTTTTGAGCATTGCTAAGATCATCAGAGGAATTTCCACAAGCACCAGAGGGCTGTAACAGTGAAAGGGACAGGAGGGCTATAGGTAATTTATTTTCCAAAATTAACAAATAATTACACTTCTTTTCAGAGACTGCTTGCCAAGTAATTAGATAATCTTCAAAAACAATGATCTCAAAAGAAAAGAAAAGAAAAAAAGATCTCATGAATTTATTTCTTCCTCTCCTGAGCTCCTGTTCATTCCATAAAGGCCAATTCTGTTTTCCCCAAGAAACTTTCTTTACTACCCCAACTTCTCCTGCACATTCAACTGTATTGCTCCTGTCAGGCATTCCCATCTAACCCCATTCATACTTTGTTTATGCAATTTTGGTCTCCAGGTTTTTAACTTGAATCCACATGTGCAGGTGTCTCTTCATCAGGAGGCTGGAAACTTATTGTGAGCAAGACCCAAAGCTCATTCATCTTCAAATCTGCAGCAACCTGCTGTGATCATTTCCTTTGTGCCTAATGTCAATACTTTTGCTTTGAGCCTAAGAACAAACATGTTTTGGTGTTTCTAGGGTAGACTACTTGGGCCCTAGCTCACAGGATGTAGTAAAACTTCAATGAAATAATATATACGTTACTTTGTACTTGTATGCAATTAATATATCTCACTGTATATATATCTAGGTCTCATTTAGAATTAACCATCTACTTTGGCATATAATTTGGATTTTGCTGGACTTAAGTACATTTGTGAATCATTCTTTGTTCTAGGTTCGTTTTAAAAATTTAGCATCCAGACCATATTCTCTTCATGCCCATGGGCTTTCCTACGAAAAATCATCAGAGGGAAAGACTTATGAAGATGACTCTCCTGAATGGTTTAAGGAAGATAATGCTGTTCAGCCCAACAGCAGTTATACATATGTATGGCACGCCACCACTCGATCTGGGCCGGAAAATCCTGGTTCTGCCTGCCGGGCTTGGGCCTACTACTCAGCAGTGAACCCAGTGGGTACATCCACTGAAAGTTTTTGTCATTCCCCTAACCTCATAACCTGAGTCCACCAGACAGAAGGGTCAAGATGATTTCTCGTTAAATGTCTTTCTTTCCATGAGGAATGTGTAAGGATTGTGGTCAACAGTCTATAGCGACTTGTCTTCACATGACCGTGAGAGAGAAGCATGTGCTCAGTGGTGAGGAGTGAGGGGTACTGAAATGGTTGACCCCAGTCAGAGTGACTACCTTTGCAGAGGGAAGACATTTTTTTTCAATTTCCTTGAGCAAGTATTAGCTTTCTTTTGCTCTTTGTGAGAGAGCTGCAAAGTCAAGATGCCTTCGTTTTGGGCATGGTAGAGAGAGAGCACAGACTTCGATTTCAATCGCTATCCTGTCACTTACTGTGTGGGCCTGGGAAAGTTACTTGACCTCTCTCAGCCTCAGTTTCTAAAGTTAAAAATGAGAAAACAGTAGGCACTTGGTAATATTTGTTTAATAAGTGAGCTCATTTTTATTATACAAGATTGTTGTCTGAGTTAAAGAAGATACTACCAGCAAAATATTTACTATAATAGTAGATGCTCAATAAATAGTAATTATAATAGTATTGATATTGTCATTAACATTATCATTACTGCCATGCCGAGATAAAGGACTAATCAGAGGAAGGGATGATGAGTGCCACAGAATCAGATGATCAGATGATACCCAGGCTTAGTAAGCTCTTCATTTATAAACATCAGATTCAGAGCCCCTGAGGTTTCCTTTTCTATACAATCAGTGATTGTCAGAAGAACAAAGGAAATCCCGAGAAAGAGAAAATCTGTGCATTTTGCTCCTACTGTCTTCCAGGAAAAAGATATCCATTCTGGCTTGATAGGTCCCCTTCTGATCTGTCAAAAAGGAGTACTTGATAAGAGCAACACGCCGATGGATATGAGAGAATTCATCTTACTTTTTATGGTCTTTGATGAAAAGAAGAGCTGGTATTATGAAAAGAAGGCCCAGTCCACAAGGTCTTGGAGACTTGCATCCTCAGAAGTAAAAAACTCCCATGAGTTTCATGGTATTTTCCTCTGACTTTGATCTAATCTCTGAACTAAATCACACAGGGTGACCATGATTCTTGCCCTAGGTCTTCATAAGATTAGACAGGAGGTGCTTCTGAAGAATCAGGAGCTACGACCCACACCAGGTCCTTAAATGTCTGAGGGCTGATGTTGCCCAACAGGTGGTGCTGCACATATAGGAGCTAGAGAAGGTCTGAAAGAGAGCACAGGAGCCTGCTGCAGAGCAAACCCAACCAACCAACCAACCAACAAAAAGCCAGTGTGCGGCAGCTGGTAGCATGAATCAAAAAGGAATTGGCATTACTCTGCAATATAAACAGTTAATAAACCTGTTCCTTGATCGCTAAAGGAACGATTGTTTGTCTAGAAGAAGTGATCATCCCTGTGTACTTTCTAAAGAAGAATGATGGTGGCAGTTCCAGCTGTCAGAAGTTCTCAGGTGGCATCCGAAGCATCTAGAACAAAACAAGATAGGACACTGGGTAGTTGGGTGATAGGAGAATCATGGCAACGGAGCATCTTTTGGGGGGCGTGGGGGGGTGAAACATATGTACACCGAACTCCATTTCTAGGCTTTTCAGCCCAGGGCACTTGGTCTCAGGGGTGGGAAGCACACTTTTCTGAAAACCTCCCAACCTAGTGAGAAAGTGTAGCCCCAGAATCAGATAGGCTTGTCTCTTGGCTATCCCATTACTTCTGAGTACCCTCGAGCCACTGCTTCCCAATTCCTCAAAGAAAAAGTAAAATGCACCGGATAGAGCTTAGTTTTAAATGTACTGTAGTTGAAGTCTCTGTAATTAGGTAATCCCCATGGTGTAGTATTTATCAGGGTACCTGCTGAGCAGACCACCTGACTTCCCAGCCTCAAACTCAGCCCCTGGCCTTTGCAGTATGTGTTCAGTAATTGTGTGTTGAATTAGTGAATAAATGAATGAATCCTATCACTCAGTTCAATTTATCAAATGTTTACTGAGCACCTGCTATGTTGAGAGTCTTCATTCCATATCCTAATGAGTTAGCAATGCTGACCTAAGAATCACTTGAGATCCATGTCCTGCCCAGATGAGGGAGTAAGGACTGGTGTTAGGAGTGGGAAGACAGGTGCTCTCATACCTAATGTAAGCTAGAGGGTGCGAAGATGATCTCAACTCCCCTCCCTCCCCAAATTCACTTGCTCAGTTCCTGAAACTCCATGGTAGTTCTTTTAACTTTAGAATAACATTACTAATAAAAACTTCACTCACTTCAATCTCAGTTATGCATCGTAGCCCAAAGCTGTACCATTAACATTTTGTGTTATTTTTTAAGGTGATTAAGTTTGTCAGGTGATTTACACACGCACACACACACACACAGACACACATGTTTCACCGAGTGGAGAGTGGATGAAGCCTGAGAACCCTAGACATTTAAGCTGGGAAGGGGACAGAGGAGCTATATCATAGAAATGAGAGAATAAACATGAACCTCGGTCATCTGCCTTCCTAATTTTGCCCAGAACTATCTCTGAATGTAGTAGGCCTCTGGGTGATGTGCTATGTATCCCCTCACTCTTTCCTCTAACCACTGGAGTTCACTTATCTGGCTCATATCAGTCTTTCTGTTTCTGTAGCACAGGAAAATCCATACCGTAAATGTCAAGGTTAAGTGAGTGAAGCAGAGAGAAAGGGGAGTGTGCGGTGTGGGGTGGAGAGTGGCAAATTCTGTGGGAAACTGCTGTAGGCTGGCGTGAGGTTTAGCCTTTCACTCATAGCAGAACACCCTGGGGTCCTTACTATATGCCTGGGCAGGCGGAGTGATAGGAAGATGGGTGGTAAGGTGGGACGCCTCAGACCTCTTTAGCAGCCTCTCTGCAGATTTCTAATTGATTGCAACTTTCTGTCCTTTCAGCCATTAATGGAATGATCTACAACTTGCCTGGCCTGAGAATGTACGAGCAAGAATGGGTGAGGTTGCATCTGCTGAACATGGGCAGCTCCCGAGACATTCATGTGGTTCACTTTCATGGCCAGACCCTGCTGGAAAATGGCACTCAACAGCACCAGCTTGGGGTCTGGCCCCTGCTGCCTGGTAAAGATCTGCACGATGAAAAGAGATCCCTGCTGAAAAATGGCTAGAGAAGGCAATCTGGGCAACTGTCACTGTCCCTCATTCCCTCCTATGCATTTACTTCTTAAGGGTTGGACATGGTTTCTGGCATAGATCCTGAGCAGAGACATATCCCTAAACTGCATACAGAGTACAGAAAAGTCTGCTAATACATACATTCTTTGCGGCACCACACAGGCTATATGTGGGGCTCAACTCAGTTCTACAGAGATGCTATGTCTAATGCAGTTTTTCCCAAGCCACTGTGTGTCACATAGGCCAGGTCTTAAACAGATTATAAAAATGAATCCCACAGGGCTCAGGCAGCTAAAGCTTTCTGTTGGGAAGGAGATTAAAAACTTACTAGGGTTTTGGGATTCTTGAATTCTTGAATTCTATTCCTCACACTCTCACTTTGATACCTTTGGGCAAGTGGCTATAGGAATCTTAATCTTAAACTGACTCATGAGGCTATTTGAAGAGGAAAAAAGGTGTTTTTTTTTAATGATTATAAAAGCTAAAGGATAAGAGGGGTATTTAGAACTTTTCATGTACAAAATAATGAAAAGGTTTAAACAAACCAGCCATGACAAAGGATTTTTATGTGCCAGCAAGTTGTTTGTAGGTGTATCTGTGTGTGGTAGGTGTGTGGGTAGGGTTATGAGTACTAGGTGCTGCTGATTCTCAAACTGTAACGGGCATAGTAAAATTCTAGGAAGCTGGTTAAAATGCAAAGGCTAAGGCAGAGATTTTGCTTTCAGAGACTTTGGTCTGGTAGATCTTGGGATCTTCGGCAGGTGCCAGGGACTCTGCATTTTTAACAAGCAGCCTACTTTCCACAAACGCTCTGAGAAGCTAATGAAGGCAGTCAGTCCCTCGCCACTTTGAATGGAGAAGTTGCTATGTGAGTCAGCCTTAGAAGGGCACAGCAGTCAAATTGGGACTGGTTTGGTTAAGAAGGAGGAAAGGGTGTTCTTGTTTGTTTATTCAGACCTGTGGCTCATTAATAAAGCTATAAAGACTCACTCTCTTAAAATTAGAGACAAGAGGGGATTAGGTAAACTTATTCCTTACTTTTCACCAAATGTAAATTGCCAGATCAGTCCTCCTGTCCATGAGCCTGTGGGAAACACTGAGAAGCTAGAATTGGCTGGCCCATCCACATCTTCAAATCTAAATTATCTGTATTGGAGGGAGTGGAAGGCCGCAATCTTTTTAGTGTGCTAAAGGAGGATGACCATCAGCTATTAATTTTCACTCACAATCTGGAAAATAGACATGAATTACAGCCAGCAGAAGTTAAGTATTAACTGGCAATGGGTAGCATTAAATATCAGAATGGATAATCAGAGGTTTCAGAAATGTCATTCTTTCGGTGATTTTCTGAAACAATTTAGGTGCATCTCTATCCAAATATGTAGACTTAATAGAAAATTTGCAAACATGGGAGAAGGATGTTTGATTTTAATTTTCTTATTAAAAAAAAAAGAAAAACCAAAGAAATGAAGGGAGAGAAAGGAAACTTGTACAGTATTCTTGAGGTCCAGTGATGAGTCATTCAAAGTCATTTTCAACCTTAGGACTCAGAAGCTGTGCTGTGTATGGGTTAGCTTGTAACATTATATATAGATAACTGAAAGTTTCTTTCTAGTAAGGGGTGTTAGAGATTTTTGTAAGTCCTTGGGCAATTTATTTTTACTAACGTGTATGTGTGTCACTGCTTTGTTTTGTTTTTCTGTTTGTTACACCTCTAGTCCTGCCTAAGAGAAATGGATCATTCTTAATTTCTTTTCTAGAGCCTCTTGTGATGCAGGGATTTAGGATTCTTTGATAGCTGTCAATTAATATTGTTAATTTGGGGTGTGTAATATTGTCCTTCACTCTCTATTTTAGGTTCATTTAAAACTCTTGAAATGAAGCCATCAAAATCTGGCTGGTGGCTCCTCAACACAGAGGTGGGAGAAAACCAGAGAGCAGGGATGCAAACACCATTTCTCATCATAGACAGAGGTACCATCCAAGAGCCACGTGATGTTTTCAGCAGGAGGGTCCCTGCTGGAACATCACTAACTCTTAGATTGGAAATATTGAACTCTGGGAACTCTGCATGACAGAGGGAGAATGTGTACCAGTAACTGCTTTTATTCTGACCCATCGTCAGATTGTGCCACAAACATCAATCTCCTAGGAAACTTAAACCATATATTTCAGCCCAAAGGCATTCTTCTTAGTTGGGGAACCAATATAAAGTGTGTTCCTTCATAATGTGTGATTTGTGGGAAAGTGAATGTAAGAAATTTTCCAGACTCCTTGAGTAGAGGAGGAAAAAGATACCAGGAATTCAACAATGACTAGGATAGTCTCTGAACTTGGCATTTCAGTATTTGAGAAATCATTCCCATCTGCCCCTCTGCCCAGCCAGCCAGGCAGCATTTATTAAGTACTTGTTGAGTACCAAGCACTGTGTTGACATCCAGATATCTCAGTGGCTGGCATTTTCTTTTGTGATCAGAATGTAAATAACTCTGTAACTTTCAGGTCAACTTTTGGGAACATAGACTTAAAAGGGGTAATACTTGATGTTGTAAAATGGCTTATTTTAAGATACAAGCAGATGGAAATCCGTTTAAAACTAATTGAATTTCGGGATTTCCATGATTTTCCTCTAGGGTATCACTATTTCTGTTAAAGACTAGCACCAGTCTTGCTAGCACATTTACCATTTTATGATCAGACATATTTAAGTCGATGCCACATAAGGTAGGTGAAACTATCGAATTACTGACTCACCAGAGGTATAATCTCTAGCCATGCAGCTTTTACGTTGTTATATGTATTTTCTAAGCAAAAATTATTCATTGCTCTGTTTGTGTGTGTGTTTTGTTTTTGTTTTTTGTTGTTGTTTTGTTTTTGTTTTTGTTTTTTGTTTTTTAGAATGTAAGATGCCAATGGGACTAAGCAATGGTATCATAGCTGATTCACAGATCAAAGCTTCTGAGCACTTGGGTAAGTAATAGCATCATAGCCTTTGGAAGCCATCTCCTACAGTTGTGCAGTATACAGCCTGAAAAACAACCCATGACAACCCTACCTGTTCAATCTATGGATCATTGCTCCTCTCTGGGCTTTTCTCTACCACATGGTAAAGCAGCTCCATCTTTGGTAGAGGAAGGAGCAATATGACAGGCGCTAAAACCTGTTGGCATTCCTTTATCACTGCCACCCTCTCTGGTGTATAATGTTCCCAAAGAGTCTGTCCCAAGGAAGACCAAGAGCTAGGGCTCCTCAGAATTTCTACACAGGCAGTCCAACCTCTCAGCAGGGATTGAGCAAGGAGGGGATCCCTTACTCCTACAACTATGTACCCGTTTCCAAAACTCTCCCCATTCATCCCCATTCCAGGTTTGATCACAAACATAATATTCCAGCCAGATTCACAAGGTCTTATTGGCCAGATACTAACTATTCTCCCGATTGATAGGGCTCTTTGTTGTGCCAACCATTCCTCTATTCAAGAAAGTTTGCTGAAAAAAAAAAAAAAAACCTAAGACCAAGAGGTCAGTTGCAAGGGATCATGAGGCTCCCATAATCCCTCCCACATCCTCCCCTTAGGCAAGCACACTCAGCAGCAACCACATCAACATAACTGAGAAAAGATAAACATAACCTGTATGCAAGAAAGGGGGTGGGTGGTGGTTGACAGCTGACCAAGCACAGACCTGAAGCCAGGAAGATTTCATCATCATGAACTGATTTAGTAGCTGAGGCCCGTGTCAACTGCCTGGTCTCCTAACTTCGATAGAAGCTCCTGCAGAGATCTGGTTTTCCACTGGGACTAAACTTACTTGGGAAATTGCTAGTTATATGTTTTTGGGTTTTTTTTTTTAATTCAGAATAAATTTTTTTCTTTTTTGGATTTAGGTTATTGGGAGCCCAAATTAGCAAGATTAAACAATGGTGGGTCATATAATGCTTGGATCACAGAAAAACCTTCAACAGACCTTGAGTCTAAACCTTGGATCCAGGTATATCTTATTAGCCTGATAATATTTACAGTACCGTAATAATAAAATGACAGTGATTTAATAATTTCTCTTTGTTGTTCTTGCAATGTTCTAGGCACTATCCTAAGTACCTTACTTACTCAAAAATGAACCCTATGAGATTAGTTCTAGTAATAGCCTAGATATCCTTTGTACAGATGATAAAAACTAAGGCACAGAGGGACTAATTAAGTGCCGAAAGTCAGGCACAGCTAGTAAGTGGTTGAACTTGGATTCGAGTCCAGATACTCTGCTCACATATGGATTGTATCTAGCCATTTGATTAGTACTTAGACCTTAGGTGCTGGCTGTTTAGTTCTAAAGAATGCTGGTTACACAGTGAATTAAGGAAGGCAGTGTGTGACTTGTTGACAAGGACAGTCTGTGTAATGGCTTTGCTATATTGCAGGTAGACATGCAGAGGGAAGTCGTATTCACAGGGATCCAGACTCAAGGTGCCAGACAGTATCTGAAGTCCTACTACACCACAGAGTTCTCTGTGGCATACAGCTCTGACCGGACAAACTGGCAGATCTTCAAAGGGAACAGCACAAGGAATGTGATGGTCTGTGTGCCTTGTTTCTTTCTGAGTCTCAAGACTCACCCTAGGCTCACCAGGTTGCAATGACTATGCCTATCATTATGTCTTTTTAAAAAATACCTTTCTGGGTGGTTGAAATACAAATGGTTTTCTTAGGGCCTTATGAAAGAAAGTTGTACAATGATAGGTCTGTTATTATAAATTAAAGGGATAAGCCTGACTTATGACACTTCCAAACTCCACCAAAAATCACTTTTTGATCAAACTAAATACCCAGAGTTCTCTGATTGCCAGATGGTGGACAGCAGAGTCTTGTGCCTTAAGGGGCTCATGCTAAAAACTGGCCTCTAAGAGTTTTGATTATACTAACTTTGACATTTTATTTTGTTCTTTGTTTCAGTGTACCTGAAGGAAATGGCAGTGTTAATACCAGTTATGTGCTGAGGCAGTGTGCTTTTCAGACTTTTTTTTTTTTTTTTGCTGCCCTGACTGAGGAGTGACAATCCCCTGCTGGGTCTTTCTGAGACTCAGCCAGGATTATTCCCAAAAACCCATGTGTACTAGCCCTAACTCCTCCTCCTCCCTAATCCCCTTTCCAAAGAGAGCTATCAGAATGTAAGGAGTCAGTCTGCCATTATTACACTGATAACTTTCAATCTGTTTCATTTTTTCCTATAAATCATTTACTATTTTACTAGTTTCTGTATTATCATTAGCTATCTCTAGTAATAAATTATTTGTACTATACCTTAGAATAGATCTTGAAAATCTCAAATTGTAGCCCTTACTAATCAGTCTTGGAGAGAGAACACAGATTACAGTTAGAGTTCATACCTTCAAGACTTTTGCACTTAAATTCATGAGGAATATTGGTGTGTAGTTTTATTTTTTTGTACTTTTTCTGGTTTTGATATCAGAGTAATACTGTCTTCATGAAATAATTTGGGAAGCATGCTCTTCTGTTTTCTGGGAGAGATTTTCTAGAATTGGTGTTAATTCTTTAAATATTTGTAGAATTCACCAGAGAAACTATGTGGGCCTAGAGATTTCTTTTCCAGGAACTTTTAAATTACAAATACAATTTCTTTAATAGTTACTGGCTGTTCACATTATCTATTTCCTATTGGATAAGTTGAGATCGTGTTTTTCTAATTGATCCATTTCCTCTAAGCTGTTAAATTTATGTGCATAGAATTGTTTGTAGTATTCTCTTAGGCTTTTGATGTCTGCAGGGTCTACAGTGATATTGATATTAGTGAATGTGCATCTCTTCTCTTTTTGTTTTGTCATTCTTGCTAGATATTTGCCTTTTTTTAAAATCTTTTCAAAGAATTGGATCTGTTTCATTGTTTTTATCTATTATTTTTCTAGTTTTCAGTCTTGCTGCTCTTATTTTCTGTCTTAGCTGGCACTTTCTGACACTGGTCTGGCAAGGAAAGGGGCTGGGGCACACCTCATCACTGCCAGGTGGACTTCGAAGTCCAGGTTCCCCAATGAAGGAGGACCGCTCCTCTTTGCTGTTGGGTGGGAATGGGAGAGTCTCCACTGATACTATAGTGGTGGGAGCCTTATTAGGAGCTGGTGGGGATGAAAGTCCTGGGTTCCTATTTGGCCTTCTCTAACACAATCCCAGTGAGGGTGTTGGGTGTCTTGTTGCAGTCTTATGAGGATGGAAGTCTAGGCTCTCCACTTGGCCTTTGCTGTTCTGGGTGGAGGAGGGGCCACAGTGTTTTCTATGATGTTTAGCTAGAAGTAGAGCAATTACTGTCTGAAAGTTCTGTCTTGCTAGACTGCCCTTTCCTGGTCCTGTGGCTAGAGAAAGGAGGTTTTTGCCAGAGCTTTTTTTTTTTTTTTTTTTGTCTGTACCCAGTGGTGTTTCCTGGTTGCTGGCTTCTTCACTTCCCAATCTGGGATATATGAGACAAAAATAAAACCCAGGGAGCCCACTACCATGTTGTTCCTTGGGTCCCAAGAACCCTAACCCATCTGCCTTCTCTTCATCTTTCAGTGGCTTCCTATGTTTTAGTTGTACTTAGCAGGAGGAACAAGGCAAAGTACATCTACACCATCTTCCTGAAATGAAAGTATCTCCAGTTACTTAAGACCAAGTGATTTAATTCAGGCCACAGGAAAACTTAATATGACAATATTAAATTAAACTGAAATTTTATTATAAAATCACTTTATAGAGAATTGTTCCATAACTAAGCTTTCCTCTTTTCCTCTAGTATTTTGATGGCAATTCGGATGCCTCTACAATAAAAGAGAATCGGTTTGACCCACCTATTGTGGCTAGATATATTAGGATCTCTCCAACTAGATCCTATAATAGACCTGCCCTTCGATTGGAGCTGCAAGGTTGTGAGGTTAACGGTAAGAAACAAAGATGCATTATTGTCTCGCTGCCTCATAGAGAATCAAGCTTTAGTAGATACGGAAGAATGGGTAGAATTATTAGTTCTCTTCAATCACAGAGGTGCCTACAAAAACCTTGGTGAAACAGGTCCTGCTCAGGTAAACTGCTCATTTACATTGTGACCTGGACTAAGACTGTTCTACCAGGCAGCAGGCAGGCCTATCTCCGAACACTGCCAGGATGGCATGGCCCTCCAAGGAAAGGCCCTAGCTTCGAATAACGTCCATTGGCCCATTGCAATAAGAACTAAGATTCAGACTAGGCCCGACTCTTCTGAAGTCCAAAAGGTCACACTCAGGCTTTAATGTAATGAACGTATCTAGCAACATTACTGGCATGTATTAGATGTTCAGTGAATGTTTTTGAAATCTAAACCGCTTACCAACTTCCTGAAACTTTTTTTTAAGATTTATTTATTCATTAGAGAGAGAGAGAGAGCTGACGGGGAGGGGCAGAGGGAGAGGGAAAGAGAGAATCTCAAGCAGACTCCCTGCTCAGCACGAAACCCGAGACAGGGCTCGATTCATGACCCTGGGCTCGAATCAAGAGTTGGATGCTTAACCAGCTGAGCCACCCAGGCGCCCCCCCAGTTTCCTGAAGCTTTGATTGAACTCTGCATTCTGTTTGGCACTCTATGAAGGTACTCAAACTTTTTCTATGTAAGCTGCTGTTTTTCAGGGGATATAACGTGACCTATGGTATAAATAAATCCAGGTAATCATAAATGGCCAGAATAAAATTCTAATATATAGAACAAAGAGTCACTGTTTTTTTCTTTATATGGTATATGATGTAAATGGTAGTTTGTTCAGATCAGAGAGTGAAACTACTGTAAAATGTGACATTCAACTCTGTTAATCTATTCAAAACATCTATTTTCTATTCAAGAAGCTTTGCTTTTTTAAAAATCTCTTCATTTTCTTGATATAATCAGTATTAGCGGTAGGTTTTCTTTTTTTAAATCTTTTTTTCATGGAGAAAGATATCACTTCAAGAAAATGTCAGCATGATTTACCCACAAGAACAAAGTGTCACAGAGATGATGATGATGATGGGCAGTCGGCGGGGCTCACTCACTAGCTATGTTTCTCATATTCACAGACCAGCTTTGAGGACTGACATGCAAGTACACACCTTGGCAAAATTCTAAATGGTGCATAACATGAATCACCCTCAAAGGGTTGAAAATAAACTGTTGAATGTGACTACCAAGAGTCCACTGTATCTTCTTCTTTGTAGCATTTTTTAGAAAGAGAAATAAATATATTCTCATTTACATAGATACTGTAGGAGTATTTTCTACCTCAAAGAAAAGACAGAAGTTTCCATGCCTCTCTGGAGGAGGAAAATACGTTTAAATATTTAGAACATAGTGTTTGGGTATCAGACTTCCTGGGCTCCAATTTAGTTTCTGATTCTACTAGCAGTGTTACTTCAGACAAGTTACTTTTTCTTGCTGTGCTTTTGTTTTTTCACTTATAAAATAGAGGCAATTAGGAGCATCAGGTAATACATGTAGAGCCTAAAAATAGGATTTGGCACTTGGGCAATAACATCATTGTTGGCAATGGTTGTTTTTGTTGTTACTTAGTAGTGATATTTTTTCTTTTCTCCTCGCAGTGCAAACCACCATGCAGGGAATAGTGGTAGTGCATAATTAATCACATAATTTTCTCTTGACAGGATGCTCCACACCGCTGGGTATGGAAAGTGGAAAGATAGAAAACAAGCAAATCACAGCTTCCTCATTTAAAAAATCTTGGTGGGGAGATTACTGGGAACCCTTCCGTGCCCGTCTTAATGCCCAGGGTCGTGTAAATGCCTGGCAAGCCAAGGTAAAATCCGCCTATGAATGGAATTCTCTCAGCTGTCCAGAAGAAAGCAAGGGCCCTCACTACAGGAGCCATGGGGGTCCTGGGAAGTCAGAAAATAATCTCCCGTTTCTGCAGATTATGATCCTAGGTCTGAGAATCTAGGCTATCTATTGACTTGATAACTTTAGCTCTGACTTTGGCTCAGATAGGGTATCTATCATCTCTGTGGTTCTTGGTCTAGTCTTGATTTTTATCAGGGGTGGGCAAATTTCTTCTGCAAAGGACCAGATAATAAATATTTTAGACTTTGTGAGCCATACATTCTCAGTCATAACTACTCAACTCTGCCATTGTAGCAGGAAAACAGTTATAAACAATACATAAATGAGCATGGCTGTGTTCCAATAAAACTTCATTTACAAAAACAGGCAGGGAGTCAAATATGGCCCTTGGGCTATAGTTTGCCAATTCCTAATTAAGACAACTTATATTAGTGATAAATGATTCAGATTTGCAGCACTTTCTTTTTTTTCACAATTTAACAATACTTTTCATTTTCTTAATAGTGCTATTTAAATTTTTTTTGTTCCCTTTTTTTGAGAACTTTGTGACATTCCTTTAGACACCTGGAGGCATGGCAAAATGCTGCAAAACCAGGGTTATAAATCAGTGGCCTAAGTTTAATAAGCATCTTCCAGAGAGTCATATTGCCCCTAATATTAACCCATTGGATATTCCAGTGACTTAGTTTTAGGGTAACAGTTAATAGTTGACTCATTTTTATTTCACTCTTCAACTGACTTGAAGAATCACAATGGCATCAGAAATCAGAATGATTCTATCAGTCAACTTAACCCTTCCTTATTTTCTAGCCTCCTATGTTTCTCCCTTAAGATACCTACATTCCAGTTCCCTGGACTCCTTAGAATTCCAGGTCCTAGCCATATGTTAGGCTGTCAGCATGGTAGTGGAGAAAACAGAAGAGCTTGGACCCCAAACAGATAGTCTTGGGAACTGACATCTGTGTCTCGAAACTCATTTATGGTCCATCACAGACTCACGGAATGTAAGAACAGCAAGGGGTTTAAAAGCATCTGGTCCAGACTTTTCCTTTTAAGTTTAAACACAAAGGAGATTAAATCATTTTAGCTTAGTTTGGTGGCAGAATCAGGAAGCCCATTCTCCTGATGGTCAGTGGTCCTCCCACCATTTGAAGCCACTCAGACACCTCATTGTGCAATTTTGCAGAAGGGGAAACAGAGACCTAAAGAAGTTAAAATAATAAAAGTAATAATGTTATACTACATTACACTTATATAATTATATAAATAAAATAATTAAAAAAATGAAAGAAAAAAGGAGAAAGGATGTCATCCAATTTTTTTCCCAGATAACTCTTTAGATCTGCTCATGGTATAACTTTGTCACCCTACCCTGCATTTTACAGCTTTTTGAAAAATTTTGCTCTGTATACAATTTGCTCTTAGTCTTTGTGATATAATAATGGCTTCAAAGATGAAATACTAAATCTAATTTTTAATGCCGTCATTTTAAATCTGGAATTCTAGATCAGAACTGTTTCACTTCATCTTCTATTAGAATCAGATATCTTTATAGGGTCTCTTTAGAGAGGGTAAAAAAAAATCTCAGCCAGACTGAGACAGGCACACATGCAAACTGAGGCATCTCTACCTCTTTTATACCTATAAAAAATTATTATGTCTTCAAAACCCTCTAGCTCTCTACCTCTGTATCACTGGTACGACCTGGATTGGATACTATACAGCTTGAAGATACACTAAGAAACCACCAAATGTCACTAGAGGGTGTTACAAAATTAACAAAAATTAATTAATACAATAATTTTAATTCAATTAATTTGCTTTAAAAATACATATAGTATATGAATTATACATATATCTGTGTATCAATATATACACATACATACATGTACACATAAGTGATGTTAAAGAAATATATCACTATTCATTATTTCATATAGAACTGAATGAGACTATGGGGCATGATAAATCTCCCAAAGGTGAAAATTTGTCTCAGATTACTCCAAAACTCAGTTAGCCCTTCTGATCCTCTTTCTCCAAGTATGATTAGGCACTGCATTAGGCCAGAGACGGGACAGCTACCATACCATATCAAGTCCTAGTCATGGCTTTATTAGGTCTCTCAAGTATTACATTTATTTGAAATATCAGAAAAGAAGAAATTGGACTACTCCCCCTGGTTGACATAAGCAAGGGAAAGAAAAATGGAACTTTTTCTAAAATAAGTTAGAGAAAGGATACTATCCAATTCTTTCCCAGATAACCCATCAGCAATATCATCATGGCATTTAAACAAATTTGGTTAAGAGAATAATATTTACAGATAATTTAGCAATCTAATATTTTTTTCTCAAGTAAGATTCATTTATTTATTCATTCAAAAAATATTTGTTGAACACCAACTGTGTGCCATGCATTGTGCTAAGTACCTGAAAACAAAATACAGTAAATCCGTGCCTTCAAAGAGGGATACAAATAAGTAAACCATTATTGTACGATATATGAAATACTCTAGTAAAAGTTTATATATGTCTGCGACAGCAAACAAAAAGGAACAGGGAAGTCCTCTAGGAAACAGAGAATCCTAAGGGATGAGACAGAAAAGAGAGTCTTTTGAGGACTGCACATTTCTGAGTGTCTTGGTCTAAAAAATTGAAGGTTTTAACATCTGCCTTATTCATGTGTCCTCATCATTTTCACAGGCAAACAACAACAAACAGTGGTTACAAATTGATCTGCTCAAAATCAAGAAAATAACTGCAATTGTAACACAGGGTTGCAAGTCTCTGTCCTCTGAAATGTACGTGAAGAGCTACACCATCCACTACAGTGACCAGGGAATGGAATGGAAGCCTTACAGGCAGAAATCCTCCATGGTGGACAAGGTACAGGGTGCTGTCATGGCAACAACAAAGCAATTCACAAACTGTTATGACGAGAGAGATACCTTACATTTGCCAACAGCTCTTTGCATTTGACAAATATGCACTGACATGCGCCTCCTCCCTAAGAAGTCTGAACCCTCGCTCAGCAGGTAGCTCCTCTGGGGACAGAAACCATGCAGGTCATCTTTCCGCGGTGGCTGAGCCACCTGTGAAATAGTGAGAACCAAACACCAGGGGGCGGTGTGAAGCTTAATTAGCTCTGTTAGAGAAAGATGGTAGCGTTGTCTCAGTCGGCTTGCACTGCTGTAACAAATGATCATAGATGGAAGCAACAAACACTTCTTTCTCACGGTTCTGAAGGCTGGAATCCAAGAGCAGGGTGCCAGGATGGTTGGGTTCCTGGTGAGGGCTCTCTTCTTGGTTGTGTCCCCACATGACTTTCCTTGGTGCAGAAAGAGAGAGATCCCATGTCTCCTCTTATTTTTATAAGTGTGTTAATCCCATCATGAGGGCCCCACCTTCACAGCCTACTCTAATCCTCATTACCTCCCAAAGACCCCACCTCCTAATACTATCCCATTGGGGGTTAGTGTTTCCATGTATGAATTTGAGGGTGATGCAAACATGTAGTCCATAACAGGGGTCTAGAGAACCTTCCACTGTGAAATAACATCATATTAACATTATCTTGGGTAAACTTGTTATCTTTGAGACAGAATGAGAGAGAGAAAGAGGGAGAGCACATGAGAGGGGGGAGGGTCAGAGGGAGAAGCAGACTCCCTGCTGAGCAGGGAGCCTGATGCGGGACTCCATCCAGGGACTCCAGGATCATGACCTGAGCCGAAGGCAGCTGCTTAACCAACTGAGCCACCCAGGCACCCCGGGTAAACTTGTTATCTTGATTGATCAAATACCCACGGCCATAAAGCTTTTTGTATCATATTTTTAAGCAGAAGACAATTGTTATCCTAACTGATGAGGAAACTAATTTCCTGCAAGACGAACTACCCCATTATACTCCTTAATTCCCAGTCATGTTTTTAAAATGCTACTAGGGCAAAACTAAGGAGATGAGCCTAATATTCCAGGAAGGGAAATAAGGCTGGAGCCAGTAAGAGGGGCCACATAGGAGAAGGGGATGACCTTTACCAAATGCTCACCATGGGCTCAGGCCTTATCTCGGTGAATGAATTTGAACCTCTCTCTCTTTTTAGTAAACTCCTGGGTTGTTTGTCTGGTTGGTTGGTTGGTTTGGCTGGTTTTATCTGTCACTGTACCAGGATGTCTTTATAGTTGGGTAAGTATCATTGTCATAAAGAAATAGTGACTCAGCTGCTGCTGTGTTTAAATCCTGGGGAAACTGCTGCGGATGCAAAAAGGAAAAAAACCAAGTCATAAAACACAGTTCAATTGAGAATAGAAGGCATTTGCCAAAAAGAATAAGTAAAAACACATGGTTGCATTTTATTTTAAATGTTAGTGACAACTAACCATTATCTGTCACTTACAGTGCACTTGTCATATGTTTACATACTTAAAAAAATCTTTATAACAATTTCTGTCAGGTAAACTTTTATTACTCCCATTTTGCCAGTGAGAATATAAGTCACCTGCCCAAAGTCACACAGCTACCAAGGGGCTAAGGGCAGAGATGGTTTCGAAGCTGCTTCATAGCACCCTGCCAGCTGCCAGACCTCTTTATTTTTCCGACTCAGATCACGGGTGAGGTGGAATCCCTAAAGAGCTCTGTTAGGCACGTGATCTCATAACTGACTGAAGATCATCTCTGATAACATTGTATGTGTTCCTTGATACCCTCAGCTGGAGCTAAAATTGCAAAAGAAAAAAAAAATATCTGTTAAGATTTTTATACCCATCATATCTCTATTAAAGATCTTACCATATTTTTCTTTCAGATTTTCAAAGGAAATAATAATATCAAAGGACACATGAAGAACTTTTTCAACCCACCAATTATCTCCAGGTTTATCCGCATCATTCCTAAAACATGGAATCAAAGTATTGCACTTCGCTTGGAACTCTTTGGCTGTGATATTTACTAGAATTGAATATTCAAAGATATAGGAAGGACTCTTAAAGATATCAAGCCATTTGGAGCGGGCAATGTATTTTATAGCTATTTTAAATGTTAATTTTCAGTATTTCCTTTTTTTATATTAGAGAATAAAATTTTATATATGAAACTTTCATAATGTAAACTCCTTGCCACAATTCAGTGAGATGATAACTATTAATTCTTCATTAATCTGAATATAGATGGGAATATATCAAGAACCAACAAGCAAATGGCTTCTTTCACAATGATTAAAAATGCTATGTAAAATAATATTTATGTAGTTGGCATGCTTCATTGTAGTTCTTTTAAAACCTACACACACTAATAAAAGAGGTATTACTTTTTAAAAAGCCATTTATAGACCTGGATAGCTTTCACTCCTACCTTTAAAAAAAAAAAAATAACAACTGTGATTTCAGAGTAAAGGAAACAAGGTTTTAAATGGTTCATTTTTCTTGACGTGGCAAGAAAAAAAAATCATACCATATGAAATAATGAGTGCTTAAAATACCCTGTCTTACCTATATGACAATGATTTTTCTGGCCCTCTGTGAGTAAAGATACAGTCGTCCCAACTTGTGAATCTGGCCTGGTCTCCCTTGGAACCGATTTACTTATTGATGTTCTGAGTGAAGGGTCTTTAGACATGGAACACAACCAAAATAACCACGGAAGAAATGAACGTGTAGCCTTGGCTTCATTCTAGCTGGTACTACAATGGCATACTGTTTCAAAACATAGGTTCACCTGAGGGAAAGCTAAAACCTGCAAAACAGCATTGGAACCATTGGCCCAAAGGCAACTGTTCCTGCTGAGACTGGCAAGCCTCTGAAACTCACCTTCAGTGCCCTTCTCTGCATGGCTCCAACCGCCTCTTCCTTCCTCAACAACTTCCTCTTTCCGCGCTCCCTTCCCTGGGAACTTGGCGTTCAATGATCCCATAGACGTTGTGAGACTGGGGAGCTTTCTGGCCTCCTTGAAGTCACATGGAACAGTCACTGGTGAAGCTATCTTTCTATGGAACAAACCTCTCCAAATCTTAATGCTTAAAACAAGGTAATTCTCTCTCATGATTCTGTGGGTTAACTGGGCTCAGCTGGGTGGTTTTGTGGCTGGCTTCATTTGGGGTCCCCAGTGAGGTTATAGTCAGACATGGCTCTAACCAGAGTCATCAGAAGGCTCAACGAGGTGTTGAAACAGCTGATTCTCTGTCACACTCCATGTGGTTTCTGGTCCTCTCCTCTTTACATGGCTTCCAAGTGGTCTATCCATTGGATGTCTCCAACAGGGGAGCTGGACTTCTTGTAAGGTGATTCAGGCTCTTCAAAGCAAGTGTTCACAATTTAGGAAGCAGAAAGCTAGGCCCAGAACTGGCACAGCCTCACTTTGGTTAACCCAAGTCACAGGTGCATCCCAAGGAGTATAATTCATTGGGACCATCTTTAGATACTGTCAGAGTTATCTATTGCATCTGGGGGTGGGCTGAGTCCTGTGAATGTATATAGGAGCTCCAAACATCCACAAAACATTGGCTTTCATTATTTGTTCCCACCTTTCTTGAAATACATTTGACAAGTAAAATCATAATGTATTTAAGTGTACAGCTTGTTGATTTGGCATATGTATTTGTTGTGAAAGTGTTCCCATTATCAAGTTAATTAATATGTCATCACCTCACAGTTACTTTTTTGTTTTTTTTTATCAGAATGCTTAAGACCTACTATCTTAGCAAATTTCAAATACACAATACAGTATTAACAACTATAGTCCCTGTGCTATATATTAAATCCTCAGAACTTATTCATCCTATAACTGAAAGTTTGTATACTTTTACTAGCTTCTCCCCATTTCTTCCCCTGGCAACCACCATTCTATTCTCTGCTTCTGTGACTTTGATTTTTTTTTACTTCCACGTACAGTGATACTACACAATATTTGTCTTTCTTTGTCTAGCTTATTTCACTTGGCATATGACCTCCAGGTTCATTCATATTGTCATAAATGGCAAGACTTACTTCTTTTTTTAAGGCATAATAATATTCCATTGTGTGTATACCACGGTGGAATTTTTTCTTCTTTTTTTTTCAAGATTTATTTATTTATTTCAAAGAGAGAGAGAGAGAGAAAGCAGGGGGATGGGGCAGAAGGAGAAGGGGAGAGGATTTCCAGCAGACTCCCCGCTGAGTGCAGAGCCCAAATGGGGCTTGATCCCATGACCTGGAGATCATGACCTGAGCCTCTATCAAGAGTCAGATGCTTAACCAACTGAGCCACCCAGACGCCCCTGTATACCACATTTTCTTTATCCATTCATCGATCGGTGTACACTTAGGTTGCCTCCATAGCTTAACTATCAAGAATAATGCTGCAATGAACATGGGAATACAGATACCTCTTCAAGCTGGTGATTTGGTTTCCTTTGGTTATATGTCTACAAATGGGATTGCTAAGTAATATGATAGCTTTATTTTTAATTTCTTGAGGAAGTACCATACTGTTTTCCATGGAGTCTAGTGCCACTCACAGTGTGCATCCTTGTCATTATTTGTTGTCTCTTGTCATTTTGATAAGTCATTCTAACCAGGTGTGAGGTGATATTTCATGGTTTTGATTTGCATTTCCTTGATGATTAGTGATGTTGAGTATCTTTTCATATATCTGTTGGCCATTTATATGTCTTCTTCGAAAAATGTATATTCAAGGGCGCCTGGGTGGCTCAGTCAGTTAAGCGACTGCCTTTGGCTCAGGTCATGATCTTGGAATCCCAGGATCGAGTCCTGCATTGGGATCCCTGTTCAGTGGGGAGTCTGCTTCTCCTTCTGACCCTACCCTCTCTCGTGCTAACTCTCTCTCTCACTCTTTTTCTCAAATAAATAAAATCTTTTAAAAAAGAAAAATGTATATTCAGGTCCTTTGCCCATTTTTTATTTGGGTTATTTTGCTATTGAGTCATATGAGTTCCTTATATATTTTGGATATTAATCCCTTATTGGATATGTGCTTTGCAAATATCTTCTCCCATTCAGTAAGTTGTGTTTTCACACAACTTAATGGCTTAGAATGGGATCCTGTTCTGGACGAAGGTTAGGGTTAGGGTTAGGGTTAGGGTTAGGGAAGGGAATTGAGAATATAAAAATCAAAACTGTCCTGAGGTGAAAAGTATGCTTTGGCTTAAAAAGACATATAGTATATTATTTATATCTTTTATCATTATTGCTTATTTCTTGGAATAGAATCATTTCTAGCTTTCTCAAAGCCACATATTAACCTGGCTGTGTTCTGCATTTTTCTCATTTTAGCCTTTGAGATAATTATCAGACATTCTGCACTTTTTAAAATCTCATTTTATAAAGAATTCTCTTATTGGCTATGTAGAATACCACCTACAAGATAGAACAACACCTACTTATGAACCTGCCATTTTCTTAGAGATGTCTTGTTGAGTAGAATAACACTATGATTTAAAGCTTACAGTAAAAATGCCAAACCTTGTGCTGCTTGTTTCCCTTTGTCCAGAACAGGATCCCATTTTAAGCCATTATTTGAATAGAGTTCATAACGTATAGTCATTTTTCTCCACAGGATATTTTCATTTCAGAACATAAGCTGCAAAATGGCAAATGACTAAGTCAATTATAAAGAATTTATAGCATAATAAATGCCAGTTTACAGTAACTGTCAACAGACTTCTACACCAAAACCTAAAAGTTGCTGCAGTAGAGGTCACAACTAACATGATTCTTACATGTGCTCCGACTTTGTTTACAACAAATTACTGCCATAAAACCCAGAAAAGAAACTTTAGTGGGTCCTTTCAACACACCTTTTCAAAAATTAGTTGACCATATATGGATAGGTTTATTTCTGGACTCTATTCTGTTCATTGATCTACGTCTGTTTTTATGCCAATAGCCTACGTTTTTTATTACTATAGCTTTATAATGTAGCTTGAAATCAGTAAGTGTGATGCCTCTCCTTTCTTCTTCTTTCCCAAGATTGCTTGGATATTTGGGTCCTTTTGTGGTTCCATATGAATTTTAGGATTTTTTCCCTATTTCTGTGAAAAATATCATTGGAGGGCGCCTGGGTGGCTCAGTTGGTTAAGCGACTGCCTTTGGCTCAGGTCATGATCCTGGAGTCCCGGGATTGAGTCCCGCATCGGCTCCCTGCTGCTAAGCGGGGAGTCTGCTTCTCCCTCTGACCCTCCCCCCTCTCATGTGCTCTCTCTCTCTCTCATTCTTGCTCTCTCAAATAAATAAATAAATAAAATCTTTAAAAAAAAAAAAAGAAAAATATCATTGGAACTTTGATAGGGATTGCACTGAATCTGTAGATCACTTTGGATACTATGAACATTTTAACAATACAAATTCTTGTAATCCATGAGTAGGGAATGTTTATCCATTTATCTATGTCTTCAGTTTCTTTCATCAGTGTTTTATAGTTTTCAGTGTACAGATATTTAATCTCCTTGGTTAAAGGTATTCCTAAGTATTTTATTTTGATACTATTGTAAATGGGATTATTTTCTTAATTTCTCTTTCCAATAGTTCATTGTTAGTATATAGAAATGCAACAGATTTCTGTATATTGATTTTGTATATTACAACTTTACTGAATATATTAGTTCTAACTATAATATATATATAAAACATTATAAGAATAGTGTTTTGGTGTAGTCTTTAAGGTTTTCTAATATAACATCATGTCATCTGCAAATAGAAACAATTTTACTTCCTCCTTTCTGATTTGGGTTCCTTATTTCTTTTTCTTGCCTAATTGCCCTGACCAGGACTACCAGTGCTATTCCAAATAAAAGAGGGAAGAATGGGCATGCTTGTCTTGTTCCTGATCTTGTTCCACTGAATATGATGTTTAGCTGTGGGTTTGCCATATATGGTCTTTTTATGTTGAGGTATTTTTCTTCTATACCTAACTTGTTGAGAGTTTTTACCATGAAAAGATGAATTTTATTAAATGTTTTGACTACATCTATTGAAGTGATATTACAATATAGATTCTTCATTTTATTAATGTGGTATATCACATTTATTGACTGTATACATTGAAATACCTTTGCATCCCAAGGATAAATCCCACTTGATCATGGTGTTTGAGTCTTAATACCGTATTGTCAAATTCAGTTTGCTAATATTTTGTTCAGGATTCTTGCGTCTATATTCATCAGGGATATTGGGTTGTAATTTTCTTTTTTGGCATGTCTTTGACTTTCATGTGAAGGCTCATACTCTGGCATTGGTAGGGGCTCATAAAATGAGTATGGGAGAGTATCATCCTGTTTAATTTTTTGTAGGAGTTTCAAAAGGATTGGTATTAATTCTTCCTTAACTGTTTGGTAGAATTCACCCATGAAGCCATGTGGTCCTGGGCTTCCTTTTGTTGGGAGGCTTTTGATTACTGCTTCAATTTCCTTACTCATTATTGTTCTGTTCAGATTTTCTATTTCTTCATGATTCATTAGC